TAAAGTATTTCCATACGCTTTATATACCAATGCTGCTTTCTTGCTACAATGACCCTCTGGGCTCTTCATCTGTTGTCGTCTGCAACGCAGCCATATACTATCAAAATTAGCGCAATCATACAGTGACACGAGATCAACGGGACTAGTCGACGTCAAGCTTAAAGCGTCACAGCATTGCATTAAGGTCGACTAGTCGACTAATCGACTAGTCGGTTCAACCCCTAGTCTGGACATGTACTGGCTTAAGCTGGGACACACGCCTGGCACTGCAGGATTCGAGTCCCTCTCGGTGTAGTGTGTTAATTATTTGGTCCCAGCTCTCTGCAGGTCATTCATCAGGTCCCTCCGTGTAGTTCTGGGATGTTTGCTCACCGTTCTCATGATCATTTTGACCCGATGGGATGAGATCTTGCGTGGAGCCCCAGATCAAGGGAGATTATCAGTGGTCTTGTATGTCTTCCATTTTCTTCCTATTGCTCCCACAGTTGATTTTTTTCACACCAAGCCGCTTGTCTATTGTAGATTCACTCTTCCCAGCCTGGTGCAGGTCTACAGTTTTCTTCCTGGTGTCCTTCGACAGCTCTTTGGTCTTGGCCGTGGTTGAGTTTGGAGTCTGACTGAGGCTGTGGACAAGTGTCTTTTATACAGATAACGGTTTAAACAGGTGCCAATAATACATGTAACGAGTGGACGACAGAAGAGCTTCTTAAAGAAGACGTTACAGGTCTGTGAGAGCCAGAAATCTTGCTGGTTTGTGGGTGACCAGATACTTATTTTCCACCATAATTTACAAATAAATACTTTAAAAATCCTATTATGTGATTTCCTGGATTTTTTTCTCATTTTGTCTCTCATAGTTGAAGTGGAGCTATGATGAAAATTACAGATCTCTCTCATCATTCTCAGTAGGAGATCTTGCACAATCAGTGGCTGACTAAATACTTTTGGGTCCCACTGTACTGTTGATGTTCACTTCAGTAAACAACAATGTAATAATATAGCATTAAAGTCTGACTTTGTACACCTTTTTAACTATTTAAGTAAATGGAAGTTAAGTTTTTTTCTTCATTCTGTTCCATGACCACTGTCATAACAGATCATTTTCTTTTTCAGTGAAATATGAATCTCAGTATACCAATGTCTGTATTGATACCTGCTGTTCATTGACTATATCTGTGTAAATTATTCAGGTTTAGTCTGATGATAAAGTGGCGTACGTGCCATCAGGGGAGCAAAAGCTGGAGGCCATCAAGATATTTTCTCATCCGCCCTGATAAATATCAAAGAGCACATATTCAATCATGTTACAATTCCCAGCATTTCTTTTTCTAGATACTTGATTGCATGCTATTGCATAAAAATATGAGTTCAAAAAATATAAAAAAAATATATAAGATTTAACACAACGATGACAAGACCCATAAGAACCAACAACCCTCTTTAACCAATAATGTTGTGCAGTAACTTTTCGTACGTTCAGTAAGTGGTGAATTACTGCTCAACAGTCTGGACAGTCAGAGATGACCACTGATTGAGAAAGTGTGGTCAAATTAAGGAAGTTTTGAGCAAAACAGATTTCTCAACAGTAAAATAGAGGACCTGCTACAAGAAATAATATTGAAAATACTAGCCATTTACAAATGTTCAGTACATATACATTTAACAGTAGTTAATGGTGTCATTTGGAAACTTTGACTTAAAAACACTGTTATTTAAGTTATAAGTTATGAGAGTTTGCAGGTGACTATATGTAAATGCATGAAGTGGTCAATATGAGTATGTGGTAAAATGAGAACATTTACTGCAAACTTCCCCTGAATTGCTATGATGGTAGGGAAAACCTTGTTTACAGAAATTATGTACAGCTTGATTACATCAGAAGCATAAACAATATATTTTTAATATAATTAATTACATTAAAACAACTCAAATACTGCCACGAGACCAATCTTCAAATCGTTCAAAAACACTCAAGAACTTTAGTCAGTTTTCTTTTGCACTTGGTGAAATTGCATAATATTGATACATTAAGCATGTTATTTTAACCATTATTACAATCTGATTTCATGCAGTAGAAACGTCTCAGGTTACGTATGTAACCCTGGTTCCCTGAGAGGGAACGAGAGCTGCGTTGTCAAACGCGATGGGAACCCCATACCCACTACGCCATGCTGAGAAATGCCCGTTCTGTGTGAAGTCCTTGCGCACACTAAGAAGCAAGCAACCCTCCTCAGAGAGTCGCACCCCAGAGGTTGCCGAGGAGAAACGATTTCTCAAAATCGTCCCTGCCCCGGCGGAGCCCTCAGAAGCCTGATAGCCTCATTTTCTTGTCTAAGCTTAATTAGAGATGATGACAGTCCTCAGATCTGCTGCCTATCGCTTCACTAGCTTAGTTCCTACGACCCTCCTCAGAGGACCGTTGGATAAAGCAGGCACCTCGGCGCCCTGAAACGGCGAACCGGCAGGGAAACCGAACTGACTGCTCTTTTTTAAGGCTCGTTTGGGGACACTGAGACCTTGGCGCCCTGAAACGGCGAACCGGCAGGGAAACCGAACCGTCAGTGCTGCGACCCTCCTCAGAGAGTCGCGCCCCAAAGGGCACTGAGGAGAAACGATTTCTCAAAACCGTCCCTACCCCAGAGGGGACCACCCTTAGAAGCCTGACCGCCTCGGCGTCAGGGCTTCTCCTTTGTCCAAGCTTTTTTAGAGATAAAACAGTCCTCAGATCTTGCATATCTCTAACTGGCTATAGACTGTTCTGTTTGCACCTTGTGCTGCGAGGAGCTTAATAGGCCGAGACTGCTCTCGTCCAGCAGTCTCAGGAACATTGGTGAGGAAGAAACCTCTGGAAAACCGCTGAATGGATAGTTTTCTTGAAAGCGGAGCGTCCAGAAGAACAGACATATTTTTATTTTCCCATTATCTTTATATCGGGAAAAACATATATGTACATAATTCTGTGGCCACCAGCGGGAACAACCAAACTGGCAGCGCTGCAGCCCTCCTCAGAGAGTCGCTCCTCACACACATTCCATACCCACCAGGGCTGCCTAATGAAAAATTATTCATTATTTATGATGGCTGGTGGGTAACGTCAGGGTTAAAAACGATGACCCCAACTCGGGAGAGAGAAAGCTTGCAAGCGTCTCTTAACCCGAGGCACTGAAATACCCAAACATTGCTATAATATGGGGATTAAACACATAAAATATAAACCCAGATGAGGAGGCTGAGAAACAGAGTTTTCTAGTTTTTAAGATAAATTTAATCTAAAAACTCTTATTTATTTTTCAATCTCATAATGTTCAGCTAGCCAGTAAAATTTTAACTGGCAAAAGCATAAATAAAACCTCCTTTTAAAAGCTCCTCTTTATTCAGCAGATATGAGCTGACTTATTTATTCATCATTCATTTAAAACTCAAACATCTGCCTTTCTCTTAACATTTTTATTTGTTTTGTACTCTTTCTTTTTAAAACAAAACACTAACGATACCAATTCCTCGGAACTGGAAATCGCAGTCCAGATCTGTCATGTGAAAGCTGAGATAGAGCTGAGCTCGTCCCAACCCCCGCTGTCAGATCCGTTTGCGAACCCCGAAATGTGAGTCGTCTGCGTGCCTCGGCAACAGAGAGACCCGCGGGGGAACGCGAACCGAACCGTCCTCCTCGGAGAACGCCCGGCGGGAGCGGACAGCTTCTCGCAATGCCCACAGTCAGCAGCTCCCTCGAGAACTGACCGCTGGCATGCTCCACTCCCAAACAAATAGCTGATGTGTGTCCCCACCCGTGATGTAACGAGGGCAGGGAACCACACAGCGTCTATAATCTTGCTTGCCATAAATAGTGATATATATTTCTTTTCTTGGCTTTGACAAACAACAATAAATAGACAAGGACAGAGTACAGAGATCGCTTGCTGAAGGCTGCAGAAGCTGTCGCGGTCTGATCTCAAGGGTGCTTTATAGTTTCCTGGTCGATGACGTCACCTGACGTCCTACTCTCTCATTGGACTGATTGTACAGACGCTTCACGACGCAATCACGCAGAGCGTTCCCATCGCGTTTGACAACGCAGATCGAAGTTCCCTTGAAAGGGAACAAAGAAAATATAGACTAGATTAAATTTTCAACATTTTATTTATAAACGTACAGTATTTTGTAAAGCCATTGCATTTGAACATCAAATTAATCTATTTTTTGGATAGTATAGATTTGGGATTTGAATAACACAATAAATATACCTTAGATGTAATATATATATTCCAAGGTAACTATTTCCCTCCTAAACAACATATAACTTGCCTGGCAAACGCCTCAGCCCTGTGTCAACCTAGAGTTATGATGAAATAAACATAAAATACACGACCAGACCCGAAGCAGAGACGCAGGCTAAATAAATCATGACAGAAGATTCAATCTAGTCAAACTGTTTTCCACAATCAGAAAAGCCTTAATATGACCCTTCTGTTCGGGCACACATGTGCTAACATTGGCATAAAACTACAGAGCCACTAAAGGGACATATATATATATATATATATATATATATATATATATATATATATATATATATATATATATATATTTAAATGCTTCTGCTTTCTCTCGCAAATGTTTGCGTTCCCCAAAACTCAAGTTTCTTGCGGAAACACAAACATTTGCAAGAGAACGTAAAAGCATTCACATAATTTTTCCTCGCGTCTCATATTTTTAATTCCTGTGTCCCTTTAGGGGCTCCGTATAAAACACATCTTACATTAGCCAGTGAGTGTGTTATGATGAGCAGCTCATGAACATTTTATATTTGTATTGCTTTGCCATGTGTTCAATTCAATAATCTTCAAAATTAAATAAGATATCTATTCTTTATAGTTGTAATTTTTCCTAAACCAGGTTTAGGTCACGTTATAGCCACAACACATTTTGGATTTAAGGGGGAAACAATTTCAGAAAAGTATTTTGCATAATACTATTGCTAGTAAAAAAGATGTACAATGTGCTGTGAAAAGGGCAAAACTGAGATATTTAGGCAAACACTCCATTATTTCAAAGAGCAAGGTGCAACCTGATCCATACGATCATAAATGAGCAAAAATATATTCCATATTTTTCATCTGAGCGTAGAAACAGTCTTTGCATCAAACACTTCCTCGTAGACGTCACATCTCTCCTAAGGCACAACTTCCAAAAGCATCAATGTATGAATATTGAATATGTCTGTCATCTTAACAGCAGTCAGTCCACATGCATTCGCATTTTTATCAGCTCAAATGTACTTTTTATGAATAAAAATACATACTTTCCTCCATATAGTTCATAGAATGATTACAGTGACTGTGTTCCCATGATTACAGGCTTTCTTTTATCATGAGGCACTATGAATGCTAACATGTTATGTTTTGAAAATAAAGACAATATAACTTTATATTTAACAGACAGAAATTCTTGTGAAAGCTTGGACAGATTTGGTGTTTTAATCCAGACAGAATTGAAATTGAAAAGCCATCACTCTGAACGCTCAGCTGTAGTCGAATAGCAAATCAAGCCAGATTTAATAGACTACTTTTAAAACTAGACGAGGACGAGTGGATTCAGACAGGGAGTCATTCAGCTCCTTTCCTCATTAGTGTTAATGATCTATAGGTGACTCCGATCATCAAGAGAACACACTTTCCACTGCCAGAAGCGTGGTTTTCACCGCAGCCGTGTTGAAAAAGAGACTTGAAGACATTGAAGTGGGTTGATTTTAAATGTGCTTGTATTCACATATGTGAAGATTGTGTTTTGCTCCTACAGAGTTCATAGTGTGGTGGGCTGACCAGCAGCTGAAAGACAAGAGGATAACGAGACATTAGCAATGATCTGAACTCTGAATTCAATACATCATTAGAGATATGTCATGACTTTAGCTGATCTGCTACACTGAAGGTATACCAGACTGGAGAAGGAGAGAATCGAGTGTGTGTGACTCACAGCGGGAGCGGATATAGCACTGATGGCAGTTGAGCAGCCCGTTCCTGATCCGCACATCTGTTCCTGTGCTGGTGTCGCCCAGCTGGCCCTTACAGATCCCACACTGACGGAGACACACACACACTTACACAAGCAGTAAACCACCCCTTGATTCAACAAACCTTTCTGTGTGTATAGTGTTATTTCAGCCACCGCTATCTTACATAACCTCACACAGCTGATCAAAACCGTAAAACTAGACGGAAAGACTAAAATGAGCCAGAAATCCTGATGGTCCAATTAATGATATTTTCCACTATTATGGATAATCTTTACACGTTGTAGGATCCAAAATATTCATCCCAAGATCTCTAATAGAGCACGACCGGGTAAAGGATTTTGAAGGCTGATACAAATATTTGTTGAAAAAAACGATATTTCGATATATCGGCCGATATTTTTTTTTTTTTTTCCAGAAACGCGCAACAAAACATTAACAGATTTCCCTAACATTAGTTATTTGTAGTTATTTATGAGTTTTAACTAAAATAATATGATAATGCATTTTAAAAAGAAACTTGTTTCTTTTATTGTCACAATAGAACAGACTGATGATAGTGGCATTAGCTAGCTTTATGGTTAGCTAGTCTATGATGAGCCATAATTTAGGAACGGATAACATCATACGGCAAATCATAATACATTTTCAATATAACAGGCCGAGGAGAGATGATACGTCTCATTGCTGTAACTGTCACGCGCTATTAAAGAAATACTTCAGTCACATTGTCAAAAGTTAAAAGGACAGTCAGTCGACTACACTGTAAAAACATAACGTAACTATTACTAGCTAACTACGCTTCACTCTTCACTGGACTTGATAGTCACAAATTTTGTTGCTTATTTGAGTTTAGAGAACTGATGCGGATGTTCTTTTAATTGTTATTCAAGCAACGTATGTCTCGTGACCAACTCAACGAGTGTTGCCAACGGGGACGGTGTAGAGCGCCCTCTGGTGGACAAACCATACAACTCCAACACTCATGACATGGTTGAAGCGTGTTTCGTCCGTTTTTATTTTATTTTTGAAATATTCATTTATCGGCCATTATAACTGCCGATACCGATAGTTTGGAAAATGCCTAATATCGGCCGATAATATCGGCCTGCCGATATATCGGTCTGGCTCTACATATACTGTAAGTGCATAATAATAATTAAATTAAACAATTTAACAATAGTTTTCAGCACTTGTGATGCATCCAACACTCATGACATGGTTGAAGTGTGTTTCGTCCGTTTTTATTTTTTTAGTATCTGTATTTTTTTATAACTGCCAATATCGGCCATTATAACATGCCTAATATCGGCCGATAATATCGACCTGCCTGGCTCTAGATCTTAAGGTCTATTAAGGTCTGTTGTTTAAAGCAGGATGGATTATGATTGGCACTCGATGTTTTATTGTTCATTAGATGGAAAAACATCATTCTGAAAGTGATTCCAGTGTCGTTATCGTTATATCTGTACCGTGGACTCTACTATTCTCTTGGAGTTAGAACAACTACTAAAACTTTATAGTTAAAGTTATTGTCGTTGGTGTGATAACGATATATTTGCATCTGTACTTTCCCAGTTGTTTTACTCGTACCTTAAAGCACTGAATGTGGAAGTAAAGGCTGAGAGTCTCTATGATCATGGCGGCACCTTTGCCAAGCGGGTGTCCACAACTTGAACACAGTTTCTTCCCACTGACAGACCTACACACACACACACACACACACACACAACAAGAGCAAACTTATCATCTCAAGTCAGGGCTGTTGTCAATAATCAAAGATGGCTGTGGTCGACTTATATGGGTTTATCAATGCTGATATTTGCAGAACAGAATGAGCCTTTCTATATTGTTTAATTACAGTTAATTATTTCACTTAGAGTCTGATCTGGGCTGGGGAGAAACAGTGATCATTCGACAGGTGTGTTTTGCTCAGGTCTGTACCTGTTTGGTGATGGAGGTGTTTGTGTGTCTGTGAATGAAGGTGAGGATGATGGATGTGGCCCAATGTTCTCTACAGAGTCAGACCTGAGGATGAAGAGTCACATGCAGTGTTCAGCCCTCATCTCACACACACACACACACACACACGCGCTCGGAGTCACTACGCTTCAGCCATGAGGATGAATCCAACAAAATCACAAACATAAAATCATTCACCTCTTGCGTCCACCAGGTTTTGGTTGTGATGTATTCTTATTACAGGTCTCGTTCTGCTCTCTATTGCCCAGTGGTGTATCTGTAAAATATCAAACAGTACAGACACACACCGTTATAACCGTTCAGAACACACTGCAGCCTCAACTGGATGAAGATCGTTGTAATGCTCTGGTGTTGTGTTCGATCTGTTATGACAGACGATTATTTTTTTCTTAAATTAAATGAATGAACTATATATTTAGTTTTGATAATATTTAATATTTTATGGTAGTAGACAATGTTTGCCTCTAAATTATGTCTATACATTTTTTTCAAATAATACTTTCCCCCCAAAATAATTACATTTAAAAGGAATTTAAGGCATTTGATGGGAGAAATCAAGCAAATCTCATGTAATATCATGATGTCACCACTAGTTGCCTGTATAGCCCTATATTAATATACATAGAGAGCTGTGTATTGCATTTGGAGATGTACTGTATGTTTACATATTATCAATGACTGCTGTAGCCCAATTATAGATTTTACTCCCCAAAATTGCTCTGTATTTTCAATGGCAGACTATTGTTTAAACCTGTTCGCTGTTTTGAATCGTGTTCATGATATTTGTTTTTCATATAGCAAGTGCCATAAAAGTCACCAAGTTTCAGACAATTCAGATGAAGTAGTACATTTTAAAAATGTAAAAACATACCATTTTGGTATCAAATGGTATAAAAGACCACCAGAGGGTTCAGTGAAATCAACAGTGAAGTAACTGATTTTTTTAGAAAACCTAGTTAGTTGTCTACCTAGATGGCATCATCGCAGGCACACTCTCGACACAAAGCCTTTTCCAGACAGTTAAGATCTTATTTTGGCTCAATTCCTTAAATGAGAATGTAATCCCATAATGCACTGGGACAAGCTCAGTGAACAAAATAATCCAAGATGGAAATAGTTCTATTCCATTTACTTTTATTAATGTTCCCATGAAAAATATCTGATTAAAATGAACTGATGGTTATTTTGTATATTAACTATGCTAGTTTAGCAACACTGTGTACTTCAACCAGAATACAGACAGAAAGTTGGACTCAAAATGTTGATATTAAATGCACCGTAATAAGATATTTTAAATAACTCATTTAATAACTAAAAGTAAACTGTTATCCACAATAGTGTTTCTAAGCGAGACGAGACTCACCCTGTGGAGACTGCAGTGGCTCCCCTCGTCCTCTCGGACCCACCGACACACAGCCCGGCTGAGGAGAACTGCTGAGGACACATGCAGAAAACAAGATCTTCAGTTATAATCTTAAAGCTTTATTCTTAGCTAAAAACACTTAGTTCTTTTAAAAAATATATGTGCTCATTAATGTATATTTTCAAGCAATAAAGTATTCTCGTGAGTGTATAATATGCCATTGAAAATACATTCTAGTGTCGGTCGCCATGTTGCCCCTCCATCTTGAAAGTACATTAGCCAAAGAGGGACATACCCGTTAATTCAAACTTCGCCTTCGCGTGGCACCGTGTCGAATGTTAAGAGGGGGATTGAGACTGATACCGTATTTTCCGCACTATAAGGCGTACTTAAAAGCCTTTAATTTTCGCAAAAAACGACAGCGCGCCTTATAATCCGGAGCGCCTTATATATGGATCAATTAGTTAACAAGGCTCCGCGTTATTAAATTCGCCCGCGAACTCGCGTGCGTGTCCATCTTATGGCACAGTGTTCACAAACAACTGGTCGGGCGTCCGATTGCACATCGACACTTCAAAAGCGTGCATTCGACAGCCAAACGCGCGTCAAAAGCGTGCATTTTTGCCATAAAAGCGCAAGTTCTTAACGTGCGCTTTGTGCACACAGAAAACACGCGTCAGAAGCGCACGTTCGACAGCCAAGCGCGCGTCAAAAGTGTGCGTTTTTGCCATAAAAAGCGGGCGTCAGGAACGCGCGTTTGGCTGTCAAAACACACGCTTTTGACGTGCGCTTTGGGGGTCAACGAAAACGCACGCTTTTGACGCTCGTTTATCGTAACAAAATTGGGCGTCGGAAATGTGTGTTTCGAGTAGGACGTTATGAACATGTAAACAGGTAAACCACACAGGCAGTGCCAGCGTGTGTGAAGTGTTCATACAGGCGAAAAGAGCGTACTCGTTCATTTAGTGTTCTCGGAAACGCATGTCGAAAGCGTGTGAGGAGGTCTTATGTCCCGGTTTCTTGTATTGTCATTAAATGCAAGCTAAACAGCATGGCATTATCGATGGCAAATTTGACAGAGAATTATACAATAATTGGTGAGTTATTATAATCCAGTATAGTTATCATTTAGGTAAAAAAGAAAACTGCACTTCTACAACATTTATTGATTTTTGCACGTTAATTTCAACGTTTACTAATGATTCTTAAAATAAAAAGTTGTATTTGTTAACATTACTTACGCAGTGTGTATTTTCTTACAGTATTTACACACTGCGTATATTTCGTATTTTCATCTAGAGTAATGCTGTAAATGGCAAGTATTGCATGTTTTAGTTATCTTGCAGAAATGTCCTGATGTCTTCTTTTTTTCATAAACCGCACATTCTATTCTGCTATTCGGAGAAGGGTCATTCATTTTTTATATTGAACTTCTACAACTTGAATGGACAAAATGCTGGATTGTTTCAACCCAATTTTGGGTCATATATGGACAAAATCAAATGTTGGTTTAAAAATGCAATTCAAAAAATTACAGTTGAAAGTGAAAGTTGGTACCAAAAGTTGGTACCATTGGATGTTACCACCGTTGGTACCATCTTTCCTTCGTTGGAAACTGTGATACCATTTGTGGGTCAAAACAGGTTGGCTTGTAACTTTGTATAATGAAATAAGCCAGTTTCAATAAAGGCTTTTTAACCTTTGCCTTCTCTTCATTATCCATTTATTTAGTGCCTGGGACCTGCATGTTGTTTCATTAGAGACTAATATTAACTGGATGGTCATATACCTTTTCACCGCTAGATGGGAGTAAAAATCACACAGTGTAGCTTTAATGATTAAAAAATTATAATGATATAATTAAAGTTCACTCAAAAATTCTTCATATTGTTCCAAACCCATATACTGTTATTTTTCAATGAAACATTAAATCTTTATGTGGCTCTTTTCCATTAAACTTGTCATATTATGTGAGATATATTACAATAAAATGTAATTTACATTTATGGTGTCTTCAGAATGTGTCTATGAAATTTCAGAACAAAATCCCCCTAAATCATTTATTATAGCTTATCAAATTTACCCCTTGTGGGTGTGAACAAAAAGGCATTTTGTGTGTCCCATTAAATGCAAATGAGCTGCAGCCCCACCTCCATTCAGAAGAGGGCGGAGCCTTTACACAAGCTTCAGAGACTCCAGCAATAACAGAACACACCAATCTGGTGTGATTGGTCAATCAAATCAAACCTGTTGACTGTTAAACGTTAGCGAAACCATGGATGATGGCCAAATAAAACTCACAATCAAGAAGAAACAACAAGCATTTAATCACAAAGACTGGCTTTCAATGAGAGACATTAACTGCTCTGTGAAAAATGACATCAAAAAGGCAAAACTTGCATATAAAGACGAATTAGAAGCATGAACACCAGACAAGGTGAAGACACTCTCTGGAACCACTACGAACGCCAGCATTCCTACATCTACTGATCTCAGCTCGTTCACCAAAGACCTGAACAAATGGCCAGGTTAAGACTACCCACCCCTGAACAGCCACACTTTGTCCCCTTAACAGTGGGGGACGTCCATCAGCAGCTCAGAAAGTGCTATACTGGCAAGGCCCTGGCCCAGATGGGATCACTGGGGGGCTGCTCGAGAACTGTGCCCTGGAGCCATCTCCTGTTCTCCATCTCCTCTCTTCAAAGAGTCACTATAGACAGCAACTGTCCCCACTCTCTGGAAAACAGCCACCATCACCCCTGTCCCCTAAAGATCTCGCTCCTCTGAATTGAATCATTACAGACCAGTAATACTTACTTCCATGATAGCAAAATGCCTTGAGATACTGGTACTAAACACTATTTCAACAACATCCTCTTTCCTTCAGTGATTCGGCTTGTTAACAGCAGGTGTTCATCACTAATGCTCAATCATCCCTTAATCAGTGTTGTAGTCGAGACCACCTCACTCGAGTCCGAGTCGAGACCGAGACCAGAGAGAGTCGAGTCCGAGTCGAGACCGAGACCAGAGAGAGTCGAGTCCGAGTCGACACCGAGTCCATAGAGAGTCGAGTCCGAGTCAAGACCGAGTCCAGAGAGAGTCGAGTCCGAGTCGAGACCGAGACCAGAGAGAGTCGAGTCCGAGTCAAGACCGAGTCCATAGAGAGTCGAGTCCGAGTCAAGACCGAGTCCATAGAGACGAGTCCGAGTCAAGACCGAGTCCATAGAGAGACGAGTCCGAGTCAAGACCGAGTCCATAGAGAGACGAGTCCGAGTCAAGACCGAGTCCATAGAGAGACGAGTCCGAGTCAAGACCGAGTCCATAGAGAGACGAGTCCGAGTCAAGACCGAGTCCATAGAGAGACGAGTCCGAGTCAAGACCGAGTCCATAGAGGGTCGAGTCCGAGTCGAGTCCGAGACCAGAGACGGTCGAGTCCGAGTCAAGACCGAGTCCATAGAGAGACGAGTCCGAGTCAAGACCGAGTCCATAGAGAGACGAGTCCGAGTCAAGACCGAGTCCATAGAGAGACGAGTCCGAGTCAAGACCGAGTCCATAGAGAGACGAGTCCGAGTCAAGACCGAGTCCATAGAGGGTCGAGTCCGAGTCGAGTCCGAGACCAGAGACAGTCGAGTCCGAGTCGAGTCCGAGACCAGAGACGGTCGAGTCCGAGTCGAGACCGAGACCAGTGAGGCTTCTTTTATTTACTTAGAGAAATCCTTTTTTTTTACTGAATTTACTTAGAGTTTAAAAAATATGATCAGTTTAGGGTAAAAAGGCCACATAGTAGGTGGTGTTAAAAGCAATTTTATTACAATTTGTCATGCGCAGTTGCGCACTAGAAAATCACCAATCACTGGGCGTGTCAATCAATTTAAAGAAATATTTTATTAACATACATTAATAATCATGAAAAATATTTTGAATTGAACTCGAGTGGACTCGGGAATAAGTCTGAGTCCTAAAAAAAAAATGTTCGAGTACGAGTCAATTCCGAGTCCAAATGCACACGAGTCCATGACAAGACCAAGACCATTAAAATATGGACTCGAGACCGAGTCCGAGACGAGTCCGAGTCTCGAGTACTACAACACTGACTTTAATCACGTAATTAGCATTAATGAATGATTCTGCTGTGTAGAAAAAACGTAACAGCTTGAAGGTGTGGAATGACAAATAATGGCAGAATTAACATTTGTGGGTGAACTTTTCCTTCTAGTTGCCTGCTGTAGTTCCAGACCTTACTGTCATCTGTAAACTCTGAGTGTGTGTCTGCGTTGCTTCACCGACGCCGTTTTCCCTTTGTCTGCAGTCCTCGGAGCTCTGCTGGAGGAGAACACGGTCAGTGTCGTCTACACACACATTAAGCTCTTCATTTAACGTCATTCACTGAAGTCTCACCGTCTGGTTCTCCACTGGCCCCAGCCTGTGTTCCCGCTCGGGCTGGGACTGCAAAGTGTTTTGTGTTTTGGGAAGGACTGGCAGTGCCGTCGGTGAGTGAGGGGTCACAGGGTTCAGGGGGGACAGCAGGGTCAGCGGGGTCACGGTCTCCTCCAGAATCTTCCTCTCCTGTATCGACCACACAAACACAATCACTGGCAAAGCTTCTATGAGCAAACAAGTAGCGCAACTTTACGTGTTTCAGTGGTGTGAAGATCTGTAGAGTATCTTACAACAGTTGACCATGCCTTCACACTGCTCGAGGATCTCAGATTCATCTATTGGTCTACTCTGCTCTGATTGGTCAGATGACCCAGTCTGTTGTGATTGGTCTAATCTGCTCTGATTGGTCAGATGACCCAGTCTGTTGTGATTGGTCTACTCTGCTCTCATTGGTCAGATGGCCCAGTCTGTTGTGATTGGTCTACTCTGCTCTGATTGGTCAGATGGCCCAGTCTGTTGGGATTGGTCTACTCTGCTCTGATTGGTCAGATGGCCCAGTCTGTTGTGATTGGTCTACTCTGCTCTGATTGGTCAGATGACCCAGTCTGTTGTGATTGGTCTAATCTGCTCTGATTGGTCAGATGGCCCAGTCGGTTGTGATTGGTCTACTCTGCTCTGATTGGTCAGATGACCCAGTCTGTTGTGATTGGTCTACTCTGCTCTGATTGGTCAGATGACCCAGTCTGTTGTGATTGGTCTACTCTGCTCTGATTGGTCAGATGGCCCAGTCTGTTGGGATTGGTCTACTCTGCTCTGATTGGTCAGATGGCCCAGTCTATTGTGATTGGTCTACTCTGCTCTGATTGGTCAGATGGTCCAGTCTGTTGTGATTGGTCTACTCTGCTCTGATTGGTCAGATGGTCCAGTCTGTTGTGATTGGTCTGCTCTGCTCTGATTGGTCAGATGACCCAGTCTGTTGAGATTGGTCTACTCTGCTCTGACTGGTCAGATGACCCAGCCTGTTGGGATTGGTCTACTCTGGTCTGATTGGTCAGATGGCCAAGTTTGTTGTGATTGGTCAAAAAAGCTCATTATCATTGCCGAATCTCAGCTCTTGATACACAATGATACGAACAGTAATGGTGGCGTGGGTTTCACTGTATCAATCTCATGAAAGTGGATTTACTTTGGCAGCAGAAAACAGAGTCTTCTTAACTTGAACAACACAAACCAAACTCTTCCAGTCTCAGATACACTACAGTGTACAGAGGGTGGAGCAAAGAGACACTGTGTATAGCCAATGAAGACCATAGACTGGTATTATGCAAATATGTAGTAATGTTTGTAGTTATACAACAGAAGTGAGACTGGAATTACTGACGAATCATTTCAGTTTTTCTTTTGGGAGACAATAACTTTGTTTATCTGAACTTTTATTTTTAAAACTTTGCACACCTTTACATTCACAAACAGCTCTAAGACACACTGCATGAAAGGTAATATCTGAAAAAGCATAATAGGTGCCCTTTAAGTATGTGAAAAAAAGTAAGGAAGAAAACCAATATCATTTCAGTATGCATATATTACAATGGCGTCAGTGCTATCGGTAACATTTTGAATGGTTGTAAATATTGTAATGATGTCAGTCAATGGGAGATGTGCAAACTTCAAGACGTGTAAAGAGAGAAACTTCACCTCCTCATGGTACCGCCTCTCCTCCTCTTCCACTTCCTTCTGCGCCTGCTCCCATTCCTGCTTCAACTTCTCCTGTTCACGCCGATATTTCTCCTGTGATCACACACATGCATTTCATCCGTTAATTCAGAATCTACAAATGCCTTAGGAGACCCTTGAACACTTAAAAAACTCCAAATGGCTCTTAAAGCTACAATATATATTTTTTTCGCCGTTAAAGACTTAGGTTGATGACGCAGTGATACGCGGAATCATGAAACTTGCCATCATGCTGATAGATCTAATAATGTTTATTAATGAGTGAAAACATTCATATTTTTATCATGACTGTGGTGTGAAGCAGGGTGTTATTGCTAATGAGAGACAGATATCAGCGCCACACGCGAGTCCCGCAGATATAAAGGAATAAGGACATTTCATTCTACCGAACTAACCGCAAGTGCTGAATTACTACTCACACAGGTTTATTACAGTAGACGAATGAAACTTGTGAGGTAACGCAGCGCTGTTTCACTTGCTCTACACTGCACGTGAGTGTGTTATAATGTTATAAAGTTATAATGTTATTCTATGAGTAAGTTTGTCTGTATGAGACTAGCAGTAAGCTAGATCAAATAATAAAGTACATGCAAGAGCAGTGTCTCAGTGGTGTCTCTGTCTAGTCAAAGTTTGTCACGGACGTAGAGCTTTTGGCATCTCGAAAACGCCACGCTGATATTGATCCTTGTTTTATTTCTACTTTTGTCCCAAAGTCTGCTTGCCATGGTCCATAAAGTTGACTTGTAAGAATGAATTATTTTCATTGTTTTTGAACCGCTTTGGTATTTTAAATGACGATTATAATCACTTGTATTACTGCGTCCCCTGTAGGTATGGGAATCGGTTGTTGCGAGTGCAATTACTAATGTTGCTAGCGTTGCTAATAGAAGATTAACATGAAAAACATTAAATAAAGTGAATATTTTCAAGTTCAATGGCTACGTTTTGATAAGGTGTAGTCATAATATATATATTTTTTTTAATGTAAGTGCCTGGTACTCGGCCAGTGCTACCGTATAACAGCTTTCCGGGTGGCGTCCATTTTTTTTTCTCCGACTCGGACACGCAAAACATAATAGAACGCTTGAAGTGTGGACGTGACGTCAAATCCGAGGTCCGAGTCGGTTCGTTGGCTATAATAGAACGCACCATAAGTACTCAAGTACTCATGTATAACACTGTGCAAGTGGTTTTTGAAAATTTTGATATTTTTGGAATTCTTACATATTGTACCTATTAAAGTAGTGTCTTGTTTATATTATTATTAAGCTCTTTTACATTGGTATAGAGTAAACAAGGTTAAGAAAAACTGCTTGGGATTTTAAAAATCCATTAGGCAGCCAAAAGACAACATTTTAAAGGCACAATCAATTACAAGTCTTTGATATTTTTTTTAATAGTTTGAAAAGATTGACAAGACAAAACAATATTGACACCCAAAAAATATGTAACACTTGAAAATATGATCTCTATTTAATAAAAATAACAACAAGGACAACATTTTAAGCAGTAAATATCTGTTATTCTGTGATTAAATATCTTGACATCTGCAGTGAAAAGCTATTTTCTGACACACACACACACAGGGGTGTCTTTAAGCGACTTGTGTATCATGCTGGGTTTTAGTTATGCTTTGTGTTTTGCTGCTTATGATCAAAGTGTTGTTAAATGAAAAAATATTTCCTAAGAATTTTAGTTAATCTATTCAAAACTAATCCATGAGCTCCTTAGAACAATTAAAAGGGGTTATAACCATTTGAGTCACTCTTAAAGCCAATTTTGTCATCTTTCACTCCATCTTGTCCTTTTAAACCTGTTTGACTTTCTTTCGTTTGTTGAACATAAAAGACGTTTTAAGAAATCTGTGTTTCCCCTCCATATTTAATTAGTCTCAATGGGGTCCAATGTTGTTTGTCTTCCACAGAAGACAGAAATGCAACAAGGTTTGGAAAAATATGTGATTATAAAAATATGACATAATTTTCATTTTTGGGAGAAAAATACTTTTGGGGTCACTGATATACAGGCAACATAGTCTGTCATAACAGTTAAAACATGCATCCTCTATAAATAAATATACGTTCTATAGTCTATTGTATTAGGAAATGGAAAAGGAAACCCAAACATGCAACTTAAAGGCATTGTTCAGCCACAGTGAAAATTCTGTCATCATTCTGTCTTATAGTACTAGATAACTCGTTTAGTGCCTTGATGATTTATCTCTGAAATGAAAGTGAATGGTGACCATGGCTGTTCTTGGTCCCCATCTACTTTCATTCCACTGAAAATAGCAGCTTGGACATACTAACAACAGAATTTTCTTTTTCGGTGAATTTTTTCTTATATGCTTAAGCAACTTGAAGCGATTTGAAGCATGCTCAGGGGTCTGGTTAGTCCACAGTGGTGATGTATGAAGCATGCTAAGGGGTCTGGCTCTGTTGGCTCCAGCCGCTGTACCTGAAGCATGCGTTCCTGCTCTCGCTGCCAGCTCTCCTGACGCTTGCGCTCTTCCTCTGGGCTCCAAGAAAAGTGTTCACCGCGCTTCACCAGATTCAGCACCTAACCGTACCGTACGCAATGACACGCACAAGCGCCGCACAACACCACAAACAGTGAGCAAGAGATTCCCCTGAAGCAGCGAGACTATACTGGAGCTGGCGGATGTGAAAACACAAGGACAAACATGGGGACATTCTGCTGCTTTCCCATCTGGTATAGATAATATTCAACTCTTTTTTCTGTTCTAAAAATGAAATAAACACTTTCATTTCCTTCAGCAGAATCACTGAAGGAAAAACTGCTTGTTAACAGCAGGTGTTCATCACTAATTCTCAATCATCACTTAATTAATCCCTTAATTATCATTCACTTGAACACTGATTCAGAGTTAATTTAACACTCTTTAGAGAGGGACCACGTGTACTCTGAGTAGAGTTCATTTAACTCTAAGGATTTTGCTGTGAACTCATTCTTATATGTTTTAAGCCATTTACTTCTGAGCATCAAAGAGACCATTTAGGAAGATTTGTAATGTACGAACAGTGCTTGTAGAACAGGAATAAAATAATACCAGATGAGAAACAGCCAGAAAACAAACGTCAGACGCCTTAGGGATGAAGAGGAGAGACAGATGAACAGATTTCATTTATATACAGTACTTACATTTCCAGCCTTTTCAGTCAAATCTGGAAAATACAAACAATGTCATTTTTAAAACATGCACTTTCAGTGATTTCATGAATTATTCATTTCATTAATTTGGTTAAAAATAAATTAGTCAAAACCAATGGGAACTGAGTATGAAATGTAAAAAAAAAAAAAAGGTTTTTGGTTACACTATTTTAAGGTGTCATTATTACAGTGTAATTATATATTTAAGTACTGAATAGAATTAATTAACAACAATACTTTCTAGGGTTTGTTTGAGGGATGAGAGTAAGTTGCATGCAAGCATGCATAATTTACTGTTATTACTATCGTAAGTACATGTAACATATGTAAGATAAAGCTTTTATTTAGTTATTATATAAAGAAGAGTTTGATCCAGATTTGAAGTGTGGAAGATTCACCAAACACTGAAGCAATTCAGTGACATAAAATAAATCAGAGGTACAGTACATTGAAAATTTCATATGAAAGTATTAAACATAATAAACATAATCATGATTCATAATACGTTTATCTGCTGATTCAGATGTTGATATAACATGTTCATGTGTCTCAGAGAGTGTGTGACAGTGATGTCCATTTAGCCAATTTGGGATAACAGGAAAACAATGTTACTGAGCACTGATGTCCAGCTCTAAACGCCAGCCCAACGAGAGTCCTGAACTGTCTATATCTGATGGAGAGGATAAACACTCGAGGCTGATGATGTCTTCAGCGACACTCACCTGTTCTGGTTCTGCATGATTCTGCGGTGGATGTTTCTGATAGATTCTGTGGGATCTCCGTTACTAGTTCATTGATCTTCAACCAAAACCAAAGAAATCAAGGTCAAATATATACAGCAATTACATTTAATTCTAATATGCATATGTAGTATTCTTGTCTGAGAGCAGCACCTGTGCAGAAGAGTCCGCCTGAATCACGGTCTGCAGAGAGTCACTCACACACGTCTCGTCTGTCTGCTCATCATCTGTGCAGGAACACGAGGTATTGACTAAGAATATATACAGGAATATGAGAAGAAGAAGTGAACTGGAATATTAATATCTCATAAGAGCTGGCCAACCTGTAGCCGTGTCGTCTGGTTTCATCTCCAAGACTTCTGTGGACGTGGCGTCGTCATCGCTGACCTGCGGGACCGCCGCTCCTTCAGTCTGTACAGCATTACACACTCTTTACTGAACATAACCTCTCTGTTCTCATGCTTGTGTTGGTCACACACACACACAACACTGACCAGAAGTGATTGTTTTCGAACCATCAAAATTGGAGGATTTTTTTCACTTATTTTAAATATGAGGGAGGAATGAAACACCAAACTTGGTTTGACAAATTAGGCAAATAGGGAAACTACAGCTAAAGGTTTGATTTTACTACGCAAGAAAAAAAAACGTGAAAAACCATAAGCTGACAGGAAAAAGCAAACATTGACTACAACATAACCTGATATTATATTTTGCTAGTTCTATCTAGTTTCATAATTTCTTGTATGACACACAATTTGCACAAATAAAGCAATCAACTGGAAGCAAAACTACACATCATGCTCCTCACCTGTGTGTGTTCCCTGTGGTTCTCGCAGCGCTCCGGTGTGTGTGTGGATCCAGCGGACACGTCGGGATCTGTGAGGTCTGTGTGCAGACAGCCTTCCCTCTCTCTGTTTCTTCCTCCCTTCTGCTCATCATCCTCCCTTTCTCCATTCACTCGCACCATTTCATTCTGAGAGACAGAGAGAGAATTGAACTGAATTTTTACACACCTTTATTACAAATAACCTAATACCAATACATTCAGTTCCTACCTACAAGAGTACAAAACACCATACAAATAAAAAATAATAAAAATAAATAAATAAAAGAACTCATTCCAAAATATGTGCAAACTGTAAACTCTCGTTAATTATTGCACACAGAGCCCCCTTATAATACCAAATCGTTTCAAAAGACATAACAGCCCTCATAGCCTTATAAAACTGAAAGTCAATTCAAATTCTGGATTTAATATGTCATGCAATTTAGCTTTCCAAATATACATTATTTTATAATGTTACTAGATAAAAACTACTGTTTATAAAATAATTTTAATTTGCATTTAAAATACATGATTAGTTCGATAAAACGCAATCGCATCACTGTGTTTTGCAGTCAGTCCACAGCTCCGACAAGGAAACCGCTGCTAAATAAAGTGTTAATGACAATGTCACGTCACAGCAGACAGCTCAGCATATAAAGCGAGTTGATGTAAAGTCCCTACCGTGACACAAAAAAAGGTATGTGCGTGTTTTAGATGTGCTGATCTGCTCTCTGTGTGTTTTTGTCCTTCTATAGAGCACTTCACATACTGTAGAAAGAACCCATTCACAAACACACTCACACCTAGGGAACACTAGCACCCATTCAACACATGCCCACTTTAACTCACACACTCATTCCAGCCAGCAGAGGGCAACATCCACCATTGTATCCTGAGACACTTCACTTCTCTTAGGAGACGGATGGAGCACTGAATTATCCAGGACATTCTACTCTTATATTGCTCAGAGGCTCTTCTACAGCTCTTCATCAAAACTGTTCATATTTCTCTTAAAGGAAACAAAAATTACTCTTGAATGAGGAACCCTCGACACATTTAACGGTTAAAATAGCTAAATTCATGTGGATAACATAGCTCAGATCACTTGGTCTTGAGAGAATGATATATCTATAGAGTTTTTACTGAAATGTTTGACTTTTGGTTGCAAATTTCTGATCTCTTTTGATACAACTAAATAAATAAAAATTCCTAAGAAATGTCTCATTTTGCTCTTCATTTAATCTCGTTACAGTCAAGGAGAAAGTAAGAAATTACAGAAAAAATCTCCAGGTGGACCTGTTATAAGTTATGTAAGAATGTTGCATAGTGACATTGTGTGACTTTAGTCCTAAACTATAGACATTATATCAGTTATGAAACCTTTTAAAAAGCAAACAGTGCTATGAGAAATGTTGATTCCTGTGCTGTCTGTACCTTAGCAGTGCTACTTCTGCTCTGTCTGTACGGTCTCGGAGCCAGAGAGGGCGCTGTCGCACACGAGCGAGATGGACCTGAAACACACTCCATATCTCTGACGTTTCCCTGCTCTGTGCTGTATCCCGCCTCCATCACCGGATCTGTGCTGTATCCCGTCTCCGTCTCCGGCTCTGTGCTGTATCCCGTCACCTGTGCTTCCACCGAGGATATGAACTTGGCTGCGGGGAGAGACTGCTGCCTCAGGTACTGCAGCGGGTTTGAGCCAGCACTGAAGGAGCAGGAGATGTCTGAGGAGACGGGGAACGAGGAGGGACGAGTTGGGTCGGCCGACACACTCCTCTCCAGCAGCTTGGGGAGTTTGAGGCGCTCGAGAACGGCCTCACTGATGGTGAAGCGCAGGGCATAACGCTGCAGCACAGATGCTGCTTCCTCTGGTGTTCGGGCGCTCCGGTAGGCTTCATGCAACTCCTGTTCACGACGCTCCCTAGTGGACAAATAGAAATGGTGTAGAGACGTATTATTGTATCGATGATTGAGATTCACTAACTAACAGCAGTTTTAAAAACAATTTTGTAACATTACTGACTGTACCGCTTACAGGAACATCCCTGATATAAATACCATTTAAAGAAACTTCACTTATGTTTACGCCACTGACATTAAACACACTCATGGTAACAGCACCAACAGTAACATCACTGACTGTAACACAGGTAACAGTAACCACAGTTACAGTAACATCACTGACTGTAACACCACTGACAATATCATCACTTATGTTATACTGAACTCACGGTAACAGCACCCACAGTAACATCACTGACAGTAATGCCACCAACAGTAACACCGCTTGTTAAATACACTGACTTTAACTGCACCGGTAACAACAGAAGCAGTAACATCACTAACAGTAACACCGCTTAGTGTAACATCATTTACAGTAACATCCCTGACAGTAACACCCCTAACAATAATACCATTTACGGTAACACCCCTAACAGTAACAGCACTAACAGTAACATCACTTACGGTAACACCCCTAACAGTAACACCACTAACAGTAACATCACTTACGGTAACACCCCTAACAGTAACATCACTAACAGTGACATCACTTACGGTAACACCCCTAACAGTAACACCCCTAACAGTAACATCACTTACGGTAACACCCCTAACAGTAACATCACTTACGGTAAAACCCCTAACAGTAACATCACTTACGGTAAAACCCCTAACAGTAACATCACTTACGGTAACACCCCTAACAGTAACAGCACTAATAGTAACATCACTTACGGTAACACCCCTAACAGTAACAGCACTAATAGTAACATCACTTACGGTAACACCCCTAACAGTAACATCACTTACGGTAACACCCCTAACAGTAACAGCACTAATAGTAACATCACTTACGGTAACACCCCTAACAGTAACATCACTTACGGTATCACCCCTAACAGTAACATCACTTACGGTAACACCCTTAACAGTAACAGCACTAATAGTAACATCACTTACGGTAACACCCCTAACAGTAACAGCACTAATAGTAACATCACTTACGGTAACACCCCTAACAGTAACAGCACTAATAGTAACATCACTTACGGTAACACCCCTAACAGTAACATCACTTACGGTAACACCCCTAACAGTAACAGCACTAATAGTAACATCACTTACGGTAACACCCCTAACAGTAACATCACTTACGGTATCACCCCTAACAGTAACATCACTTACGGTAACACCCTTAACAGTAACAGCACTAATAGTAACATCACTTACGGTAACACCCCTAACAGTAACACCCCTAACAGTAACATCACTTACGGTATCACCCCTAACAGTAACATCACTTACGGTAACACCCTTAACAGTAACAGCACTAATAGTAACATCACTTACGGTAACACCCCCTACAGTAACATCACTTACGGTATCACCCCTAACAGTAACATCACTTAGGGTAACACCCTTAACAGTAACAGCACTAATAGTAACATCACTTACGGTAAGACCCCTAACAGTAACACCCCTAACAGTAACATCACTTACGGTAACAACCCTAACAGTAACATAACTTACGGTAACACCCCTAACAGTAACAGGACTAACAGTAACATCACTTACGGTATCACCCCTAACAGTAACACCCCTAACAGTAACATCACTTACGGTAACACCCCTAACAGTAACATCACTTACGGTAACACCCCTAACAGTAACATCACTTACGGTAAAACCCCTAACAGTAACATCACTTATGGTAACACCCCTAACAGAAACATCACTTACGGTAACACCCCTAATAGTAACAGCACTAACAGTAACATCAATTACGGTAAAACCCCTGACAGTAACAGCACTAACAGTAACATCACTTACGGTAACACCCTTAACAGTAACATCACTTACGGTAACACCCCTAACAGTAACATCACTTACGGTAAAACCCCTAACAGTAACATCACTTATGGTAACACCCCTAACAGAAACATCACTTACGGTAACACCCCTAACAGTAACATCACTTACGGTAACACCCCTAACAGTAACAGCACTAACAGTAACATCAATTACGGTAACACCCTTAACAGTAACATCACTTATGGTAACACTCCTAACAGTAACATCAATTACGGTAAAACCCCTGACGGTAACACCCCTAACAGTAACATCACTTACGGTAACACCCCTAACAGTAACATCACTTACGGTAACACCCCTAACAGTAACATCACTTACGGTAACACCCCTAACAGTAACAGCACTAACAGTAACATCAATTACGGTAAAACCCCTGACAGTAACAGCACTAACAGTAACATCACTTACGGTAACACCCCTAACAGTAACATCACTTACGGTAACACCCCTAACAGTAACATCACTTACCGTAACACCACTAACAGTAACACCACTTAAATAGCAAATTAGCTAATAGCAATAGCAAATTCAGTACATTCAGCACCAAGTACTCAAGCTGATTAGATTTGTCTTAAATGACCCGTAGTCATCTGTAGTGTTGGACTGTAAAAAATGAACAAAAAGTGGAAAGTGTAAATGGAAACAGCAGACATACTTCTCCTCCACTATTTCTCTGTACGTCTTGATGCTTTTTCTTCTCTGTGATCCTCCTCCTCCACTCAACAGTCTCTCCATCATCTTCCTCTCCTCTTCTTTTTTGATCAGGTCCTGAGACACACTCCTTCTGCGACTCTTCCATTTGGCCAAGTCCTGAAACACAATCATACAACTGCAGACTCATTCTGAACTCCGTATCCTGAATGTAACATGAAACTAGTGAGGACAGACACGTACGTCCTGCCAGTGGTCTTCTTCCTCTTTCAGCATGTTGTACTGGTTGTGCATGAGCTCATGTCGAACTTGACTATGGGGTGGCAACATAGAGTCTTCCTCACTTCCTCGCATGTCAATCATGCTCACACTCCTGTTACAGAGAGACAGAAGCTCATTGAACCACTGGTACTTTATAAAACTGAATCAGCTGGTTAACCACTGTTAACTTTATTATTAAGAAGCAGGGCCAGTGAGTCACAGTGAGCATTATAACAAGGCAGGTTGTGCCGCCCATAAGCCATGCATCCAAAGAAAGAAGGCCAGAAGTGTGTGAACATGTGCTGAAAGACACTCTGAAACAACCACAAAATTTATGTTATCTTACAAATGGCAAAACAAATAGATTTTTATTCTATAAAAAAATGCTTGGTTTTATTAAACAAATTGAGCATATTCAAGTATAAAAGTATACATCAGATGCAAGTGTTTTAGCAAACATAAGTATTAGTTTGTGGATAAAAGGTTTACGTTATATTAGCATCCCATTTAACAAGCAATACAGCCACATTACAAAGAAGTTCATCGGTAGTGTACCAAAACACAGCTTGGCACATGCAGACATTAGTCAGTGTCAGTCCCGGCAAGAGTGTTTTCACAGCACAGTGTGTTAAAGAGACTTACTCGGGATCATCAAACACACTAGATGAACGGCTGAATCTACAACAGGCAGGACAAAAGAGCACAAACACAGTGATATATGAGGACAATGATGACCCACAGATAAAACAAAAATGACTTAAGCAGTCATTGCATTACATACAATTTCTAAATACACAGAATATTTAGCACTAGAAACTCTATCCAAGCAATATTATACGTATATAATAGGGGAATTCCCCAAAAGGGGCAAAACCCTCCAAGGTAAATACCACACACACACACACACACAATTTACCCCTCTGGTGCCCTTTTTTACAGAAAATGTTATGTTTCGTTTTTTTACTTCATCCAAATGGTACAAAACTTGGTAAAAGCACTTGCTACTGTATGTGAACACAAAACAATAATGGACATGATTTCGAAAATGTTAAACGGTCCTGAAAAAATAGTCACACGTGAGCCCCTCGAAAACTTCATCTAGTGGAAGCGTTTGGTACTGCGGCCACACACAATCTTACTTCAAACTGTGTGGACTTAGGCTGGTCTCGTGTCTTGTTTCAATTTCAGTGTTTATCTAACAAACCCCAATACTGTGGGAAATGTCTAAGCCATCTTTCATAGCCTCGTCAAATTCACCACTTATTGCACTTATCAAAAATTCAAAAAGATTCATATAGAAGAGGAGAGCATGAAAGAGAGAGAGAAAAGCGCTGGATGTGTGTCAGTGAAAGTGTGGCTTGCGGTCTCGCCACAAGAAACACACAGACACTGAAAATACAGGCCACCCAAAAAACAAACCAATTATAAAGCCTGAAGTATTGCTCATAAATGTAAATATGGCAGTGAATCGTCCAGCAGGACAGACCAAAGGAAACCGAGAGACTCCACTGAAAACAACACTCAAACTGGAGCTCTGATCAGAGATAATGTTGGAGATGATAGACCTGGTGTTTTATACAGGACTTGAAATAAAATCTTAGATCCATAAACACTCTGGTCTGAACTGCGACGGGCGAATCAACACTGATATGAAGCAAACACCATCTCTTCAACTCCATTTCATCGACGTTTGTAAGGCTAGTTGCATCACACATCTGAAAGAGTTTTTGTACTGTACATTCTGCTTCGTTGATATGTTAAGCATGTTAAAAGATTAATTATTACTGTTAAAAGAGTGAACATTTTCTGGGTGTGTTTTCAATCACAAATGCTATGGGTTTCTACTCTAATTCATGTAAATAGATCAAATCCTATCTCACAAATAGGTGTCAAATGGTTGATATAAATGGAGTGTGTTCAGACTCTTTGCCGATTTCTTGTGGAGTACCACAAGGTAGTGTACTTTCTAAATGTATATAAATGATTTAAAGATGACCTGTTCTAGCCACTTATCATTATATGCGGATGATGCCATGATGATAGATACTGATGAAAATAAAGAAACTATAGAAAACAAGTTAATAAGAGAAACTGTAGAAGTATCCAATTGGTGTTTTCAAAATAAGCTATTTCTGCACTTAGGGAAAACTGAGGCTATTTTAGTTGGTTCTGAATAAGTGAATTTGATTTTAAACCCGGACGACAAAAATAGCGGAGCAAAACTCTAATTTAACCATTTTCCCCATACTGTTAAATCTATCAGATGCTACCGTTGACTTCAATGGTGTTCAACACACAAACCTCTGTTAAAATCGTAGAAAATTGGGTTTAGGGTTTCATGAGCAGCACATTTCTCCCCACATAGCAAACCCATAATACAGCGAGGGAGAAGAACCGCATGAAATTATGCAGCTATAAATGTTTTCTAACAGGGTAGTAAAAGTTTAGCTAGCTAATATGAGCTGTTACTGTGGCTGAGCTGTTTAGCCTTGTTTATACTCGACGCGTGAGCCCAAAGGTGCAAGCGGAAAAAATGACATGATTGTAACAGTGCACGATCAGTGCGTGATCAGCTTAAAATGCTTCCAAGAACGACTTGTCGACCCCGATCGACGGGTTGGTGATTCCTGTAACATAATGTTTTACGGTCAATGACAAGAGTACTAATCAATTCAGTTCAGCTCAGCTCAGTTCAGTTCAGTTCAGTTCATTTCAGTTCAGTTCAGCTCAGTTCAGCTCAGCTCAGCTCAGCTCAGCTCAGCTCAGTTCAGCTCAGTTCAGTTCAGTTCAGCTCAGCTCAGCTCAGTTCAGCTCAGTTCAGTTCAGTTCAGTTCAGTTCAGTTCAGCTCAGCTCAGCTCAGCTCAGCTCAGTTTATTTCAGTTCAGCTCAGCTCAGTTCAGCTCAGTTCAGTTCAGCTCAGCTCAGCTCAGCTCAGTTCAGTTCAGTTCAGTTCAGCTCAGCTCAGCTCAGTTCAGTTTATTTCAGTTCAGCTCAGCTCAGTTCAGCTCAGTTCAGTTCAGCTCAGCTCAGCTCAGTTCAGCTCAGTTCAGTTCAGTTCAGCTCAGCTCAGTCCAGCTCAGTTCAGCTCAGTTCAGTTCAGCTCAGCTCAGTTCAGTTCAGTTAATTTCAGTTCAGCTCAGTTCAGTTCAGCTCAGTTCAGTTCAGCTCATTTCAGTTCAGTTCAGTTCAGCTCAGCTCAGCTCAGCTCAGTTCAGTTCATTTCAGTTCAGCTCAGTTCAGCTCAGTTCATTTCAGTTCAGTTCAGTTCAGTTCAGCTCAGCTCAGCTCAGCTCAGTTCAGCTCAGTTCATTTCATTTCAGCTCAGTTCAGTTCAGCTCAGTTCAGTTCAGTTCAGTTCATTTCAGTTCAGTTCAGTTCAGTTCAGCTCAGTTCATTTCAGTTCAGCTCAGTTCAGCTCAGTTCATTTCAGTTCAGTTCAGTTCAGCTCAGCTCAGTTCAGCTCAGTTCATTTCATTTCAGCTCAGTTCAGTTCAGCTCAGTTCAGTTCAGTTCAGTTCATTTCAGCTCAGTTCAGTTCAGCTCAGTTCAGTTCATTTCAGTTAATTTCAGTTCAGTTCAGTTCAGCTCAGCTCAGCTCAGCTCAGTTCAGCTCAGTTCAGTTCATTTCAGTTCATTTCAGTTCAGTTCAGCTCAGCTCAGTTCAGTTAATTTCAGCTCAGCTCAGCTCAGTTCAGTTCAGCTCAGCTCAGTTCAGTTCAGTTCAGCTCAGTTCAGTTCATGGCCCAACACAGGAAACCGGCACATTCCCTGTCTTCCTCCGGGCGGGTCGCCTGTTCCTTCTGTGAGGCTGTTTTTATCAACATACAATGGGAAAGTCCTCAGAGTGACATTCAGAGCCTTTCCTCCGTGTGTTTATGAGTTTCTGTGGCCACTGTGAACACCTGATGTTGTCATTTTGAAAGATACTGAGAATAATATTCAGATTCCAAATGTACATATATATACTGGTGATTTTTTTTTAAAAAAGCATGTTGCTAATTATTGCTTTTGTATTCTGTAGCTGAGAATGATGATAAACTTTCACGATGAGTTCTTTCAGATAAAGTGAAAGGTATTCAGTGTTTGTGGCTATTAAATGTCTTCTGTAGTCGTTTGTACATGTGTGTGGTCTGAATCCAGTGGCAGATCCGTTCTTTATTCCATGTTATTCATGACACTTATCTGTAATGTTTTGTCCTATGTGTGCTTTTCCAAAAACGGATTCGGTCATCATTTACTCCTCCTCATGTCGTTCCAAACCTGAACTTACTTCTTCTGTGAAACGCATGTTTGGAATGACGTATAAATAATAAAAAAATAATTTTCATTTTTGGATGAGCAATCCTTTTGATTACTATTAAATAATTTTAAATTAACAATGTATTATGTTTAATTATGTATAGTGACAAAATCTGAGTAGCTTACAATATGCCAATATGTCCCCCGATTCCATCTGTTCTTATGAAATGATTTGTCTTTACTGCACACTTGGTATATTAACTTGGTATATGCAACAAGAGCTAATTTTTCTGCTACCTGCTTGAAAGCCAGAAGATCGCCAGCTGAAGCGTTTTACTGTGGTAAGGACCACCCTGTCTCAGCCCGCCCTGCCAATCTGACCAGATTCAAAGGCTTTCCATGGAGTGTCATTGAAGCTCATTCATGTTGACCTACATCAAGCCCAAACATTACAAACAGCAGACGCCTGGCGTGGGACGGAAACCCAAACTCGTCTGGCTCTAGTTCCACCTGACAGTCAGAACAAATCTGCCAAGAACGGCCCTTCAGCGCCCAGCCTATCCTACAACAGCAGCCGAAAGCAAGCTCCTAATATATCAGCAAAAGAACATAAATAAAGTATTTTTTTCCCTCAGATCTTTAGTGCCGATCCCAAAAACAATACTAGACTCTTCTCAGGAGGACGGACTCAAGGTCTGGCGGTCAGACAGAGCAAAAAGACGGCTTCTGAAAGGACATCAAAGTAAAAGAAGCTGCATTTGTTGTCTAACAGTACAGTGAACGTAAGATCAGAGATCCCATCGCACCATTACAACAACTACTTTTATTGGGTGGGACAGTGGATGGATGAGTGGATGGATGGGAGGGTGGGTAGATGGATGGGTGGGTGGATCCATGGATAAGTGGGTGGGTAGATGGATGGGTGGGTGTTTGGATGGGTGGATGGACCCAAAGTAAAAGATTTGTCTCCATCCACCCACCCAAAGTAATGGGTTGGATGGATGGGTGGGTGGATGGATGGATGGATGGATGGATGGATGGATGGATGGATGGGTGAATGTATGGGTGGGTTGGTGGATGGATCAAAGCTTGGTTGGGTGAGTGGGTGAATGGATGGAAGGATGGATGATAGATGGATAGGTGGATGGATGGATGGATGGATGGATGGATGGATGGATGGGTTGGTGGATGGATGAAAGCTTGGTTGGGTTGGTGGGTGAATGAATAGAAGGATGGATGATAGATGGGTAGGTGGGTGGATTGATGGATGGATGGATGTATAGGTGGATGGATGGATGGATGGATGGGTTGGTGGATGGGTGAAAGCTTGGTTGGGTGAATGAATAGAAGGATGGATGGATGATAGATGGGTAGGTGGGTGGATGGATGGATGGATGGATGGATGTATAGGTGGATGGATGGATGGATGGGTTGGTGGATGGATGAAAGCTTGGTTGGGTGAATGAATAGAAGGATGGATGGATGATAGATGGGTAGGTGGGTGGATGGATGGATGGATGGATGGATGGATGGATGGATGGATGGATGGATGGATGGATGGATGGATGGATGGATGGATGGATGGATGGATGGATGGATGGATGGATGGATGGATGGATGGATGGATAGATAGATAGATAGATAGATAGATAGATAGATAGATAGATAGATAGATAGATAGATAGATAGATAGATAGATAGATAGATAGATGTTTTGGTGAAGGGTCGCTGGGCACCTGATGTCATTTCCTGCAGTCTGATTAATGGACATCAGCGAGTCGTTCTGAAGGGGATCCGGGGGGTGTGGAGGAGTTTGGCAGACAGCGTCCCGTCCGTCTCTGTCCTCTGATTGGCTCTGCTCGAGATCGAGAGGGTGTACAGAGGGCTGGAGGGGGGGTCTGATCTGAGGGTCACTGAGTTGTGGATTCATGGACACGGGGTCGTTCTGAGGAGAAGCTCTGGAGTTCTCACTGTCTGTCTGAGACTCTCCACAGAGAACATCACTTCCTGTTACCACACAGGACACGTCTAACCAAAGGGTTTCACTAACACTAATCACACAACAGTGACACACCCACAGAAACAACAGGAGCAGGACAACGGCACACACACACACACACACACACACACACACACACACACCGTCAAACCAGGAACCAGCGACGGCAGGAGAGGGGGATGGAAGGAAAGTGTTATACAACAGAGAGGAGGGACCAAAAGAAAAGAAACAAAAACAATTATATTTATTGACTATATACAGTGGCAGGGATTTACTGTAGCTAGGTTTACTGTATACTGACAAATATTCTTCTGTTAGAAATGTGTCGATATTTAGATTCAGTTGTGCATGCGTATTTCTCTTGCATGTTCTGTTTACACTAAATAAAACCTTGATCTAGCCTTTAATCAAAATATCATTTTTTGATACTGTTCATAATAACACTGTAGCACAAAAGTTTAATTTTTTATATTGTCCATTTATCGTTTTTGGGCCATAAAATATTTATCAGCAATACCATCAAATAAGCTGTAAATAATGCAGAAGATGTTAAAAATCACCACACTTGAAATGAAAGGTAAACCTGTAATTGAGGAATACAGTACTCGCACATTATGACAAATGCAGTAAGTGGTTTGTGTATTTTATGCATGCAGAATATTCACATACTGCACCGCACAGTGTATGAACTGCATACTACAGAAATACGAGCATCTTAGTATACGATTCCATACGGTAAATAAGGAAACAATCACACATTACACAGAATACACAAGTACAGGAGATTATCAATGATACATTATCATGGGGTTTTTCAGCTGATGTGAATAAGCATTGAGTGTATATGTATGAGTGTGTGTGTTGATCGGTTGTGATCCAGAACGATTGTTCTGGATCAAAGCACAGCAGCCTGAAGCTCAAGCAATGAATGCTCACATCTGGATCAAATCAACCGCCCTCACAAACATCTGCACTGCACAATCAATGCAAACAAATAAAACAGAAACTAGGGATGCACGATATTGGATTTGCCCGATACCGATATATTTTCTCTCCTGTGCAGGGATCCTAAAAAATATTTTTCATTTCGGTTAGCTTTGAGAAAACTCACTGAACCATTAGTTTTGAGAACTAAAACATTATTAAAGTTCTTTTTTATAATGAGAGTGCATTTAAATATTAGAAGCAATAATAATAAAGTCAATCACTGACGATTTTTTTTGGACAGATGCAGATGTAACCTTAATATTTTATTTGTGGATTTAATATGTGATCTACTGCAAAAGAGCTGTAAAACAATTCAGAAAATCTTTTAGATCTTCTTGAATTAAAAAAAAAACATTACACATTAATTAATAAATCTGTATATACAATTATTTTAAACTATAGCTTCTGATATTTAAATCAAATCAGATTCATGATTTTATGACATCAGAAACACAAGTTTCTTAATGTTTTATGTGTATTTTCCTTGTCATTTGATTAGCCTATCTAGTATGCCAACAGCGCCCCCTACATATCTTGCATCCCTACATAAAACCATTCTTCCCCTGTGGTGTAAATCCAGCTTTTAATGTTGTTTATGTGTCTATGTGTTGTTTTTAATAAGACACACCATGTGTCGACAGTATTACCTCTTTAAAACTGCAGTGAACCAAAAACCGCTGAAAATCGCTGGGATTTTTGACGTCACGAACGACCTTGTAACCAATCAGATCAACGTGTGATCGTCTACCAGTGGATCTCTGAGTGAACGAGTGGAGGCGGGGCTCATTTGCATATTCATAGAACCGAGAATACTAAATAAGGCAAGGGTGTCGAGTTACATTCAAGCTAAGAACAAAAAATAGCATAAATATCTTGGCAGCTGAAAGGGGGAAAATGAGGGTGCTTAACTTATTTATTTGCTTGTTTATTTTATTATCTAAAAAAAAACGCATAGTTTGAACTATGTGAAACATGACATCACTCATGGTAAGAATGAATAATGATGTGCTGATTTGTTTCAGAATGATAAAAAAGAAGCAAAACCCTGACAAAAGTTGTTCCCAGAACTGTTTTTGAATCAAACCAAATGCCTGATCTTTGACCTACTGACACTAAAGTAGTCTCGTCTGGAGCGCAGCCGTTATTCCCCTTTACTCTTTACACATGTCAGCTGGACTCAAAAACTCTTGGAGCCCAAAGAGAATATTTATTTCAGTCGGTTTATCAACACACCAGTGTCTCGGACTCACCTGAAAGGCCTCTCTCCTCCAACAGGTGAGGTTGTGCTGCTCCAGCTCCTGCAGCTGTCGTCTCGGTCCGCGCGTGGGCGGCGCACCGGCGCGGGCATGAACGTGCTCTGGTTAGTCTTGTTGGGCAGGTACTGGTTGAAAGGAAGGGCGATCCGTGGCTCGCTGACGGACGTTCTCCGCACCAGCATGTCGTCTTTGCGCACGTCCGGCATCTTCCTCTGGGGGGCGTCGCTCTCCGAGTCGCTGCCGCGGCCTGCGGCGGGACAAACAGAGCGAATGAATGAAGCGTCTGACAGTGTTGGTAGAACTGCGTTAGTGGTTAAAGAGCTCAGCTAAAACCCCAAAAGTTATAGGTTCGAATCTAACCAGGCCCGTTCTTCACGGAGAAGAAACGCTTCAGATTTACTAGTGATGCCAACCGAAAATATCCAACAGTTTTGGCCGAAATGGTTTTGGAGTGCCTGAAACAGTTACATTTAATTAACGGATTTTGACCATGTCAATGACTACATTTACATACTCCCCCATAACAACATGACATCATGACTTTTGCGTAAACATATACGCCAGTTTCGAGTCAGGTGGCGTGTTATCTCTACGCATTTTGAGCTATCCGCGTGTATCTGCGTGTATGTCTACGCCATTAACGTCCGCGTCATTCCACGTGTCTGTACACGCAGTCAAATCTCCACTCATAAATGCCATTAACCCCAGTGACGGTTAAGTTTAGGGATGGGGTTGAGGTAAGTCATATCTTTTTTTTCCTAGGATGGTAAGGGAACAGTCATAAATGCCATTAACCCCAGTGACGGTTAGGTTTAGGGATGGGGTTGAGGTAAGTCATATATTTATATAACGTTAAGTCAACGGCGTTCATAAACACGCTGAAAGGCGATTATGCGTCTTGATAGCACGCCAAAAATGGAAATACGAATTGGTGTGTCATACACACGCTACTTCATGAGATCAGTCTGCCCATAATGTGATTATAATGGGAACCCAGATAGCAAACTGACATTGAATCAACGTGGAAATATGACATCGAAACAACGTTGATCTGGCATTGTTTTGCTCATCGAATTAACGTTGAACCAACGTCAGACGCGTCATTCTTTCAAAACTAACGGAAAATTAACTTGAAATCAACGTTGTTTCAACGTTATGAAAGCAAACCAATTTTTGATTTTCATTTAGCTTTGAAGAATGCCGCGTCTGACGTTGGTTCAACGTTAATTCGATGAGCAAAACAACGCCAGATCAACGTTGTTTCGATGTCATGAGAGACGTCGTTTCCACGTTGATTCAGTGTCAGTTTGCTGTCTGGGATTTTTTTGGCAATATTGCAATTAATCTTTACCTCGCATTAAGAAAATACTTTGATCAAACTAAAGGGGATTAAGTTAATTGTAGTCACCATAACCAAAGTGGGTCTGTTCTCGGACGCACACTGATGCCATGTTTTGTTCACACAACTCAACTCAACAATATCAAATGCTGACCCTTCAGATGACACACAGCTCATATCTCTGCCGCTGGAAGTTACCAGAACACACAGCACATGGTAGACACACGTTTGCAGAGCAGCTCTCGCACTGTACGGCGTGATCTAGTCAGGATCCGTTCACACAGTATGGGTTCTCTGAGAATACGATTTCTGGAAATGTACAGGTGTGAGCTAAGTTATAGAATGTGGTTGTCAAACCATAAATATCTGAACTGTGTGTGAACATAACCGTAACCGTACTCAAATACAGGACTGACAACCGTATTCTCGTGGCCAAATTCTACTCCATAAACACAATGTCAGCAGTGTGGACGCACTTTAACACTTTACCGCAATATGTAAAATATGTTTGCCTGAAATCTCATGCTAAAGGACTTTACCTGGACCTATTTATCACCTTAGAACGCTATATTACAAAACGGCGCTATACTACGCACATGGCATCCTTTATCGTTAATATTCACGCGAACCCAAGGCGTCATAAATCCTTTAGCGTAATATGAGACTACCCTTCCCTACCCCACACCTAAACCTAACCATCACAGCGCGTGTTATATTAACGATAACGGGTGCCATGTGCGTAGTATAGCGCCGTTTTGTCATATAGCGTTCTATATGACGCTAAAGGATGAGAATGAGTTGAACATCCTTATAAATAACTTACCCTTACTCTTACACTTACAATAATTACACTTACAATTTATAAAAAAAATAATATTTTTGGTATTGGTATTTCTTTGGTTTCGGGCAATGCATACACAGACAAGAAATCCAAATTTTGACAAGAAAATGCAAAAAAATCTCGTCAGGAATAAACTATAAACAGCTGGTGAACTGGCGTCAGGGTTCATTGGTGGACGTGGGGAGCGAAGGCAAGTCCATTTGGTCTAATCACACAGAACAGATACTGCAGCTCAGACTCAATATTGCCCATGATAGAAAGAGAGCCAATCCGAGAGCCCATGATGACCCCTGTCCACCGTCCACAGCTCCTACAACACGTACAGCCCTTCCTAACTCTGGTGTTCACTAGTGGAAGTGGCTCTTTCAGCAGGATGACACACCTGCCACACCGCACAGAGTGTTCAGGAACATGACGAAGAGTTCAAGGTGTTGCCCTGGCCTCCAGATTGCCCAGATCTGTGGGATGTGCTGGACCTACACCACCTCACAAGATCAATCCACTGTCCTGCAGTTTAGCTACAACCTGCTTCAGCACTCCAGTCTTTGTTTTTCAAGTGATCCTGAAGAGCTTGAAGAGCTGGTTCAGGTGTGTTTGATTAGGGATGGATCTAAACTCTGCAGGACAGTGGCCCAATGTCTTTGTTCCAGAAACAACAGGACACGTCCAGAGGTCTTGTGGAGTCCACGAGGGGAACCTACACGATATTAGGCTGGTGGTTTTAATGTTGTTTAATGAAAATGTGTATATCGCTGGAGATTTCATTGGTTAAATAAAATAGAAAACTGATCTGCAGTAAATGGAGAAGCTCTGACGGGGCAAATCAGAGAACATTCTTTGGTTGTGGTGCCTCTGAGGATATCTGATGTCTGCCACTCCAAACATTATCTCAAGCACCCTGGAGTGTGAGCAAACAGCTATATAAAACCACTTGAGCCTGTGGCTGCATTTGAGAGGACTGATGTCGAATATTCTGAGGACCTGATGTTTAAGTAGATTACGGTCTGCGAGTCCTCTACTTTATAAAGCTGATTTACCCAAGCTGTTTTGAGGAGCACCTGCATCAACTTTGACCTTCTAATGTAACTCTCCTTTAGACATGCTACTAACTATAAGTAACTTTTCAACTACATGTCAACTAACTCTCATTAAAGTATTAATAGACTGCAGTAAACTGTAGTAGACTGGTATGTTATGGTTAGGTGTTAGGGTTCGGATAAGGAGAATAAGTTTACTTGTAGTTGCCAAGTTACTTGTATAGTCAGTAGAATGTATGTTGAGGGATCAACAAAATAAAGTGTTAGCAAATATTAAGCAGAGAGTCTACTAATACTCTAATTCCAGTTAGTCATGTAGTTGCAAAGTTACTTATAGTTAGTAGAATATCTAAAGTGGACTATCTCAATAAAGTGTTAGCACCTCTCCTCCTCACATTCCCAGGCCAGCTGCTCTGCACATGTCTGTCCGACAGCTTCTGTGGCTCAGTGTGTTAAACGCACACCAGTCAAGATGATGATTGATGGTGCATGTCACATCACACACACCTTGACATAAGTAGTAAACACATACTGTATAGCTAGTGAGACGCAACAGTCTCCGCCAGCACATGATGGTACTGCAGGGAAAGGAGATTTTCACAGGCATAAGGTTTTCCCCAACAATCTTATAGCAGATGTTGTCGCTAAAGTTTTAAATATGAATATAAAATGTAGAGCAGAATAGAGTAGCTATAAAACCAAAAAGCTCAGTAACTTGGTCTTGACAGAATTTGTTGAGAAATATTTGAGTTCATAAATGCCTCACGAGAGCAAAGACAGCAGAAGATTTTTAGCCACAGTCTACACTACTCACCTAGTCATCTAACTACTGTGTGGGCCAATGCAGTCTGATGTAGTCTGATTTAGTCTGATGTAGTCTGATGTATCCTGATATAGTCAGATGTAGTCTGATGTAGTCTGATGTAGTCTGATTTAGCCTAATGTAGCCTGATGTATCCTGATGTAGTCTGATGTAGCCTGATGTAGTCTGATGTAGTCTGATTTAGCCTGATGTAGTCTGATGTAGTCAGGTGTAGTCTGATGTAGTCTGTAGTCTGATGTAGTCTGATTTAGCCTAATGTAGCCTGATGTATCCTGATGTAGTCTGATGTAGCCTGATGTAGTCTGTTGTAGTCTGATTTAGCCTGATGTAGTCTGATGTAGTCAGGTGTAGTCTGATGTAGTCTGTAGTCTGTAGTCTGATGTAGTCTGATGTAGTCTGATTTAGTCTGATTTAGCCTGATGTAGTCTGATGTAGTCAGGTGTAGTCTGATGTAGTCTGTAGTCTGATGTAGTCTGATTTAGTCTGATGTAGTCTGATTTAGCCTAATGTAGCCTGATGTATCCTGATGTAGTCTGATGTAGCCTGATGTAGTCTGATGTAGTCTGATTTAGTCTGATGTAGCCTGATGTATCCTGATGTAGTCTGATGTAGTCTGATTTAGCCTGATTTAGTCTGATGTAGTCAGGTGTAGTCTGATGTAGTCTGTAGTCTGATGTAGTCTGATTTAGTCTGATGTAGTCTGATGTAGTCTGATTTAGCCTGATGTAGTCTGATGTAGTCAGGTGGAGTCTGATGTAGTCTGTAGTCTGATGTAGTCTGATTTAGTCTGATGTAGTCTGATTTAGCCTAATGTAGCCTGATGTATCCTGATGTAGTCTGATGTAGCCTGATGTAGTCTGATGTAGTCTGATTTAGTCTGATTTAGTCTGATGTAGTCTGATGTATCCTGATGTAGTCTGATGTAGTCTGATTTAGTCTGATGTAGTCAGGTGTAGTCTGATGTAGTCTGTAGTCTGATGTAGTCTGATTTAGTCTGATGTAGTCTGATGTATCCTGATATAGTCAGATGTAGTCTGATGTAGTCTGATGTAGTCTGATTTAGCCTAATGTAGCCTGATGTATCCTGATGTAGTCTGATGTAGCCTGATGTAGTCTGATGTAGTCTGATTTAGCCTGATGTAGTCTGATGTAGTCAGGTGTAGTCTGATGTAGTCTGTAGTCTGATGTAGTCTGATTTAGCCTAATGTAGCCTGATGTATCCTGATGTAGTCTGATGTAGCCTGATGTAGTCTGTTGTAGTCTGATTTAGCCTGATGTAGTCTGATGTAGTCAGGTGTAGTCTGATGTAGTCTGTAGTCTGATGTAGTCTGATGTAGTCTGATTTAGTCTGATTTAGCCTGATGTAGTCTGATGTAGTCAGGTGTAGTCTGATGTAGTCTGTAGTCTGATGTAGTCTGATTTAGTCTGATGTAGTCTGATTTAGCCTAATGTAGCCTGATGTATCCTGATGTAGTCTGATGTAGCCTGATGTAGTCTGATGTAGTCTGATTTAGTCTGATTTAGTCTGATGTAGCCTGATGTATCCTGATGTAGTCTGATGTAGTCTGATTTAGCCTGATTTAGTCTGATGTAGTCAGGTGTAGTCTGATGTAGTCTGTAGTCTGATGTAGTCTGATTTAGTCTGATGTAGTCTGATGTAGTCTGATTTAGCCTGATGTAGTCTGATGTAGTCAGGTGGAGTCTGATGTAGTCTGTAGTCTGATGTAGTCTGATTTAGTCTGATGTAGTCTGATTTAGCCTAATGTAGCCTGATGTATCCTGATGTAGTCTGATGTAGCCTGATGTAGTCTGATGTAGTCTGATTTAGTCTGATTTAGTCTGATGTAGTCTGATGTATCCTGATGTAGTCTGATGTAGTCTGATTTAGCCTGATTTAGTCTGATGTAGTCAGGTGTAGTCTGATGTAGTCTGTAGTCTGATGTAGTCTGATTTAGTCTGATGTAGTCTGATGTAGTCTGATTTAGCCTGATGTAGTCTGATGTAGTCAGGTGGAGTCTGATGTAGTCTGATGTAGTCTGATTTAGTCTGATGTAGTCTGATTTAGCCTAATGTAGCCTGATGTATCCTGATGTAGTCTGATTTAGTCTGATGTAGTCAGATGTAGTTTGATGTAGTCTGATTTAGTCTGATGTATCCTGATGTAGTCTGATGTAGTTTGATGTAGTCTGATTTAGTCTGATGTAGTCTGATGTTGCCTGATGTAGCCTGATGTAGTCTGATTTAGTCTGATGTAGTCTGATGTATCCTGATGTAGTCTGATGTAGTCAGGTGGAGTCTGATGTAGTCTGTAGTCTGATGTAGTCTGATTTAGTCTGATGTAGTCTGATTTAGCCTAATGTAGCCTGATGTATCCTGATGTAGTCTGATTTAGTCTGATGTAGTCTGATTTAGTCTGATGTAGTCTGATGTATCCTGATGTAGTCTGATTTAGTCTGATGTAGTCTGATGTAGTCTGATGTATCCTGATGTAGTCAGTATATGCTGTTTTTGTAAAGGTACACTGACTGTAACCTTTGGCCCCCGCTCAGTTAAAAAACAAAACTGCATGCATTTTGCAGAAGAGCATCTCAAGCTGACTAGCTGAAGACGTTACTGTAGCTTTACCCATTAATAAACTCTTTCCGCGGCAGTGGCTCAGTGGTTCATGTGGGTTGTCTACGAACTGAAAGGTTGGTGGTTCAATCCTCGGTTCCACCTGACCAAGTGTCGAGGTGTCCGTGAGCAAGACACCTAACCCCAGCTGCTCCCGACGAGCTGGCTGGCGCCTTGCATGGCTGACACCGCCGTCGGTGTATGAATGTGTGTGTGAATGGGTGAATGTGAGGCAAATGTAAAGCGCTTTGGTGGCCATTAGGTCTATGAAGGCGCTATATAAATGCAGTCCATTTACCATTTACTCTTTCCCATCCACCATTTCTGAAAAAAGTTGCCAGTGTCTGAATTTTTCATAATTTTCATAAAACTTTTGTGGCCCCCAGAATATTTTGTTGTATAAATATCTGAAAATGCAAAACTGGAAAATTCCGTCAATGGCGAGGAAAGAGTAACAAGAAACAAGAAAAACTTACATAGATACACTTTTAATATTGTACTCATCACCAAAAGGTCACAACAAAGGCAAAAATTGCCTTTTCTTTAAAAAGAATCCCTGATATAAAACAACACTGCTGGAGTCTGTGAACCTCAGCTCAATCAAACAAATGAAGCAAGAGTGAACACCGCCACACTTTCCACAGCTCACACTTCATACACAATATTATATGACTGCACAACTGTCCAACCAATACGTGTTGACCAGAAGCCCTTATTCACATGCTATGCTCGTTCTGTTAACAAAGTAGTAAAGATTTTACAAATGTCTAATTAAAACATGAACTGCTCTTGGTATATATCCTGCTGAAATGAGGAGAGTGACATTATAAAATACCTTTATACGAGTTATAATTCCATCTCCATGTGTGCTTCAAACCTCACATGCATCTCCCCAGAACCATTTATAGATCTGACATTTGTTTGGTAAATGATTAAAAACTCAACATATGCATAAATGCTCTTCATGCTATGCTTCGAGAGTGCTAGAGACTTCAAATGAAGAATACAGACGCTCTGTAATGTAAGCTCTTCTGCTTTACAGATTGCTTTAAAAGAACTACACAATTACATTAGTATTACAGCATAAAGCTTTTTCCTATATTTAATGTCACGCTAACAAAGAACACAATGCACACAGCTCAAATGCATGACATTTAACAGCGCCACAGGGGGAAAATAGTAGCGAATGCTTACTTTGAGACTCGTCTAGCTCTTCCATGTGCGTTAGAACAATTTTCAGATGTTTAAGTACTTTCTCTGATCCCGGTCTAATGTGCAGAGACTCGAGTCCTATTCACACGGGTTAGTATCACCTGGAGACCTCTAGTCATGTGTGATAATTGTGGAGGTTGTCTGTGATTTGTAAAGAACACTTCGCCGAACGCGGATAATCGTGATAATCGTTCGAATCGTATATCATTTTTCAAGGTTTTTGTTTCCTTTACGCTTTTTCTGTTTTTTGTTTATCCCTGAGAGTGTTTATCCCTTCGCTGGCTGCTCTTACCCGTTTGCTAATGCTCATCTTTGACAGCAGTGATCCTGACAGAACTACAGTACTGAACGGCCCATTCCTGAGCACTGCATTCTGGGATTACGTCTCTGGCTCTCATTCACAATTTCCATAGAAAAGAACAATCTAATACGAAAACTGAATCTCTTCTAGGAGCTCTAGGGACCGAGATGGATTGTGGGAAACTGTGGGAAATAAAGGGTTTTGACTGGAGAAATGCATTTGTGTTTTCCGGTTTATTCTCAGGCAGTTCCAAGTTAGATTTAATTGTTTAAAAAGTCCACTTTTACTGCAGTAGACTATGATTATATGAGGGTGTTTAAAACATTACTGCTGTGAGTGTGTGTGTGTTGATTTGCATGTGAAGGATAACACTGCACCCAAACTGGGCTGAGTGTGTGTCCTGAAATGCAAATAATACAGTGCAACGAACGAACAACTTTAGAGTAGTTCAGTGATAAGAGAGCAACATAAACAGGCTTTTAAACCTACTTTTATAATAGAAGAAACACTGTCTATATATTTAGTTGTTTATGTCAAATGCTGTACATACAATGAAACGACTGTACTGTATGTTGTCAGCGTGGACAGGCTGTGTGACATCCTCAAAAACCGTGAACACAAGGACATAAAGCCATAGAGAATAGGAGCAAGACTACGTTAAATGAGGGTTCATTCGCACAGTGGATAAACATGGTTTTGTGTCAAATGATTTCAATCTCTTTTTTCTTTTATTATCCTGATATATATTAAGTCCAACAATGATATGGTGTGCTCAATCTCTCCAGATTCTCTCTCTCTTTTATTAGGAAAGTATGTAACCATGGCGACGGCCCTGTGATCAACAGAAACCCTTTCTGCAGGCCAATGAAACCACACGGACGAACCCATGATGTCACACTGTGTCAGCCTCGGCCAATCGCACACATGAATAAAGCATTACAACACAGTTCACTTCAAAAATTGAGACTGGATTTTTAATTCAAATTTCATCAGATTCATCCGTTTTCAGTAGCTGATTGTAAACACATCATTAAAGCGTAAATGAATTTTTCCAAAATTCCTGCATAACGTTTTCATCCTTCAGGAAGGAAAGCACATCTGTTATCATGTCATTCTTCAGAAGTAATGCATATCTGAACTCTGCCATCTTTGCTCATGATAGCTCAGTTTGACATCTGACATTTTTAAAGGCATATTTCTCCCTAATGTCGTCCCAAACCCGTAAGACTTTCGTTATCTTCGGAACACAAATGAAGTGTCTTTTTTATTATATCTGAGAGAGTTTTCCCTCCATTGACACTCTACACAATCACCACTGTCAAGCCCCAGAACGGCGGTAAAGACGTCATTAAATTCATGTAATTTTGTAATATTTTATTTTGTAATAACTACTGCTTTCACACAACGCTAATATTCCAAGATGTTACTGCTTGTCAAATTTGTAGCCATGTATTGCTCAAAGCCCAGGTTAGCCCATGTTGTGTGTGTGTGAGGCTCACCATCGCTGTAGCCGAGGCCGAGCAGGCCGTCGGGCGAGGGAGTGTGGCGGGAGCGCGAGCCGATGGAGTCCAGGCTGTCGAACGAGTCGTCTCGTGTGTGTGTCGGCGGGGAGAGAGAGTGGCTGCGCTCCGACTCACAGCAGTCGATGTACCCACTGTCCCTGACGCTGCGCTGCGGGCTGTCCAGCTCCTGTGCGCACACACACACACACACACACAATCATCATCATCACAGGTTTGCTATCAGAGGGTTCTACAAGTGGGGTTTTGATGTTTGGATTGAGCTTGGCCACACGAGTGAGCTTATGACTGAGTTAATCTACTAAGTGAACGATTCAGTGACTTATAATCGACACAAGCTGCGTTTCCACCGCAATTACCAGGAACTATTAACCACCTGACCAATGATGACACCACAGAAATGAGAACCACCTGACCAATGACACGGCAGAACTGAGAACCACCTGACCTAACTATTTGTCCCAGGAACTTTTTTTATAGGAACGTTTTTTGCCCCAGACCGCTTGCTCACTGCGTTTACACCGCGGGCTAAAGTACTGGTCCTCTTCCTAACCTGGAGGAGATTCAAGTTGTGCTGCTTTTGTGTGCGATTGGTTTACTAACGAGGTAATTAACAAAACGGCAGAAAAGAGACGAGCACCCAAAGCGTATTCAGAAAGCTCGTAATGCTAGATATAAAAGTAGACGTTTGTTATCAGTGGACATTGACCGTGAGATGGATGGGATGAACGCGCGCCATTGGGCAGAAAGAATAGCGTGGTGAGAACCAATCAGCATGTTCAGCACACAAGTCCCACCCCGAAAGTTCCCGAACTCTGAAAAAGTACGACCTCGCCAGCAGGGACTTTCTGGGGGGGAATTTTTACCCGGAACTTCATTTAGACCCTGGTTCCACCGAGTGCCACCCCAAAGTTCCTAGTTCCAGGGGAAAGTTCCTGCGGTGGAAACGCGGCTAAAGATACTGACTTTTTTAATGTATAGAAACAGTCACTAATTCACTTGAAGAACAAATAGTTTTTCGAATGGATTTAAAAGATTCAAGTCACTCGATGAATCCAAATCCCACTTTAAGGCTGTGTCCGAAATCACATACTTCCCTGTTATATAGAAGACGAAAACAGTAAGTGACAAAAGAAGTCCGTCTGAACTCACGGTAGGGTTAGAAAAACACTTCAATGCCCCACTTCTCCCAGCGCAACATGACATCATGACTTTTGCGTAAACATATACGGCACTTTCGAGTCAGGTGGAGTGTCATCTCTACGCATTTTGAGCTATCCGCGTGTATCCGCGTGCATGCGTATATGTCTACGCCATTAACGTCCGCGTCATTCCGCGTGTCCGTACACGCAGTCAAATGTCCAGTCATAAATGCCATTAACCCCAGTGACGGTTAAGTTTAGGGATGGGGTTGAGGTAAGTCATATCTTTTTTTTCCTAGGATGGTAAGGGAACAGTCATAAATGCCATTAACCCCAGTGACGGTTAGGTTTAGGGACGGGGTTGAGGTAAGTCATATATTTATATAACGTTAAGTCAACGGCGTTCATAAACACGCTGAAAGACGATTATGCGTCTTGATAGCACGCCAAAAATGGAAATACGAATTGGCGTGTCATACACACGCTACTTCATGAGATCAGTCTGCCCAGCGAGACTAAAGAGATGCACACGCCGAACACTGCACAGCATTCACAGATCACAGGGATCACACGACTGACGCTGGTCACACGATGTACGTCTAGATATCATTCATGCTATAGAATGTAGTTTTTTAGGAGTCATGAATTAATTACGTATTTAAAATAAGTCCCTACTCGAGAGAGAACGTAAGAGAGTTCCTGCTGGGTGTTGTGCTGTGTGTGACGACTGAACCCAGATCAGTGTGTGACGACTGAACCCAGATCAGTGTGTGACGACTGAACCCGGATCAGTGTGTGTGACGACTGAACCCAGATCAGTGTGTGACGACTGAACCCAGATCAATGTGTGTGACTATCTGACCAGATGGAGAAACACTCATGCAAAGGCCACATCACATGATGGAATAACACATGTCAGTCCAGTGACATCATTGGCTGTGGCATGAGCTGCTGTTCGCATCAGTGTGATAAAGTGTGTGATAAAGTGTGTGATGAAATCTTTGTTCTACACTATTCTAGAAAACAAAAATCTACACAAGAGTGAGCTTCATCTCAAGGTGCATTTCAGGTAGTTTTTCATTTTATTTTTACGATTGTCAACTGCACAAAACAGCAGATTGTGCTTTGTCCCACTGACATGTGTGTGAGAGATCAGTGTATTCCCTGGAGATCTGAGTCCAGTGGTGTGTAGAAACACCCTCTTCCAGCGATGACCTCAGCAGTAATGGACCGAGGTGGAGTGTGTTTCAACACAGAATCAGCTTAACTATAGTTCTGACTTGAGTGTTTGTAGAGTAGAGTGTGTGTGTGTGTACCCTTCTCATCAGCGACTCGAACTCCTGCAGGGCCAGCGTGGGCCCGTTGTAAGTGGCGCTGGTGTTGGCTGCTCGACCTAGCCAGTAGACGGTGATCAGAACCTGGAGAACAGTCAGACGGAGTCAGTGCACCTCGACATATGCTCATGCACACACACACACTGGTGCAGACAATATCACAATATCACAATAACATATGCAGTATTGAGTTCATGAAAGCTCACACTAAATAAAGATCCCCAAGTAAATAAATCACCACAGTGTTTGTCAGCAAAAATGTGTGCATGCGAAGTATTATATTTTACAGAGTAATATATTATGTGCACTAGGAATAGTTAAAGCAAATGGTAAAAATACAGTAAAAATAGTTAAATTTTATTCCAATGTATCAGCTGTTTTCTATGTGGATTATTAGGAACACACACTAATACTGTGTTTGACCCCCTTTCGCCTTCAGAACTGCCTTAATTCTCCGTGGCATTGATTCAACAAGGTGCTGAAAGCATTCTTTAGAAATGTTGGCCCATATTGATAGGATAGCATCTTGCAGTTGATGGAGATTTGTGGGATGAAGCTCCCGTTCCACCACATCCACCAAAGATGCTCTATTGGGTTGAGATCTGGAGACTGTGGCGGCCATTTTACTACAGTCAACTCATTGTCATGTTCAAAAAAAAAACAATTTGAAATGATTCCAGCTTTGTGACGTGGTGCATTATCCTGCTGGAAGTAGCCATCAGAGGATGGGGACATGGTGGCCATAAAGGGATGGACATGGTCAGAAACAATGCTCAGGTAGGCTGTGGCATTTAAACGATGCCCAATTGGCACTAAGGGGCCTAAAGTGTGCCAAGAAAACATCCCCCACACCATTACACCACCACCACCAGCCCAACAGTGGGAACAAGGCATTCTGGCCCACAGGACTGACCCATACTGGATGTTTTTCCCTTTTCACTCCATTCATTGTAAACCCTAGAAATGGTTGTGTGTGAAAATCCCAGTAACTGAGCAGATTGGGAAATACTCAGACACCAACAACCATGCCACGCTCAAAAGGGCCTAAATCACCTTTCTTTCCCATTCTGATATTCAGTTTGGAGTTCAGGAGATCTTGACCAGGACCACACACCTAAATGCATTGAAGCAACTGCCATGTGATTGGTTGATTAGATAATTGCATTAAAGAGAAAATGAACAGGTGTTCCTAATAATCCTTTAGGTGAGTGCATTCAAAGTGTAAATTTGTAAAGTGTAATTTAATCCTGCGATCAAAGCTGAATTTTCAGCATCATTACTCCAGGCTTCAGTGTCACATGATCCTTCAGAAATCACTCTAATATAATGATCTGATGCTCAAGAAACATTTATGATTATTATCATAACTTTTCAGTGGAAACTGTCATATGTTTTATTTTTCAGGATTCTTTGATGAATAGAAGGTAAAAAAAAAAAAACCTTTTGTAACATTATGAATGTCTTTACTGTAACTTTTGATCAATTTAATTCATCCTTGCTGTATAAAAGTACTTTCTTCAAAATCGATCTCACTGTAGTTTTGCCATGGCATTGCAGATTTGACTTACATGTTTTAACTTCTGGTGGTTTTCTGGAGCTCTGAGAGAAAGAGAAAGAGAAAGAGAAAGAGAAAGAGAAAGAGAAAGAGAAAGAGAAAGAGAAAGAGAAAGAAACGTGTGTTCAGTGAATTAATCAACTAGTGGAAACACATAAAATGGGTGACACAAATACAGCACATGATCTAACATCATAAACATAAACAGTTTGGCTGGCGAAACAGCGCTGGCTTGGTGAAATGAGCTACATGTAAACTCTGAATCTCCGAACCCAGAATATGGCATTTCACCTCTACATTTCTGTTCTCTGATATACATTTTAACATAAAGAATATGGCTAAGAAGATATATGGCTATGAGAAAACACGGGAGGGGGGGGGGGGGGTGAGAGAGAGAGAGAGATAGAGATGGCTAGATAAAGCAGTAGAGTTTCTGCTTTCCTTCATGTCAGAGGAATCAGAGAGCGTCTGTTTTTCTAAGTGTTCCTCCTGTAATTCCAACACGTATTAGATCATTCTTCTGATAGCATCTTCTGTCCATCTCTCTCCTCATCTGTCATAAAGTCTTCAATGTTTCCATCAACATACTTCAGTTCTGTGCTCATCTGACAGATTCATCTCTGATCCAGTGGAAAGAGTGATGATGGAGAGAGAGAGAGAGAGATGCCTTGCAGGTGTGTGTTAAATATATATCTTATACACTGAACAAAATGATAAACTCAACACTATTGTTTTTGCCCCCATTTTTCATGAGCTGAACTCAAAGATCTAAGACTTTTTCTATGTACACAAAAGGCCTGTTTCTCTCAAATATCGTTCACAAATCTGTCTAAATCTGTGTTAGTGAGCACTTCTCCTTTGACGAGATCATCCATCCATCTCACAGGTGTGGCGTATCAAGATGCTGATTACACAGCAGGATTATTGCACAGGTGTGCCTTAGGCTGTCCACAAAAAAAGGCCACACGAAAATGTGCTGTTTTACTCCGAGTGACTGGTCTCAGACGATCTTGTGTCCGGGTGGCTGGTCTCAGACGATCTTGTGTCCGGGTGGCTGGTCTCAGACGATCTTGTGTCCGGGTGGCTGGTCTCAGACGATCTTGTGTCCGGGTGGCTGGTCTCAGACGATCTTGTGTCCGGGTGGCTGGTCTCAGACGATCTTGTGTCCGGGTGACTGGTCTCAGACGATCTTGTGTCCGGGTGGCTGGTCTCTGACGATCTTGTGTCCGGATGGCTGGTCTCAGACGATCTTGTGTCGGGGTGGCTGGTCTCAGACGATCTTGTGTCCGGGTGGCTGGTCTCTGACGATCTTGTGTCCAGGTGGCTGGTCTCAGATGATCTTGTGTCCGGATGGCTGGTCTCAGACGATCTTGTGTCCGGGTGGCTGGTCTCAGACGATCTTGTGTCCGGGTGGCTGGTCTCAGACGAGCTTGTGTCCGTGTGACTGGTCTCAGACGATCTTGTGTCCGGGTGACTGGTCTCAGACGATCTTGTGTCCGGGTGGCTGGCCTCTGACGCTATTGTGTCTGGGTAACTGGTCTCAGACGATCTTGTGTCCGAGTGGCTGGTCTCAGACGATCTTGTGTCCGGGTGGCTGGTCTCAGACGATCTTGTGTCCGAGTGGCTGGTCTCAGACAATCTTGTGTCCGGGTGGCTGGTCTCAGACGATCTTGTGTCCGGGTGGCTGGTCTCAGACGATCTTGTGTCCGGGTGACTGGTCTCAGACGATCTTGTGTCCGGGTGACTGGTCTCAGACGATCTTGTGTCCGGGTGGCTGGTCTCGGACGATCTTGTGTCCGGGTGGCAGGTCTCAGACGATCTTGTGTCCGGGTGGCTGGTCTCAGACGATCTTGTGTCCGGGTGGCTGGTCTCAGACGATCTTGTGTCCGGGTGACTGGTCTCAGACGATCTTGTGTCCGGGTGGCTGGTCTCTGACGATCTTGTGTCTGGGTAACTGGTCTCAGACGATCTTGTGTCCGAGTGGCTGGTCTCAGATGATCTTGTGTCCGGGTGACTGGTCTCAGACGATCTTGTGTCCGGGTGGCTGGCCTCAGACGATCTTGTGTCCGGGTGGCTGGTCTCTGACGATCTTGTGTCTGGGTAACTGGTCTCAAACAATATTGTGTCCGAGTGGCTGGTCTCAGATGATCTTGTGTCCGGGTGGCTGGTCTCAGATGATCTTGTGTCCGGGTGGCTGGTCTCTGACGATCTTGTGTCCGGGTGGCTGGTTTTTGACGATCTTGTGTCCGAGTGGCTGGCCTCTGACGATCTTGTGTCCGAGTGGCTGGTCTCAAACAATATTGTGTCCGGGTGACTGGTCTCAGACGATCTTGTGTCCGGGTGGCTGGTCTCAGACGATCTTGTGTCCGGGTGGCTGGTCTCAGACGATCTTGTGTCCAGGTGGCTGGCCTCTGATGCTATTGTGTCCGAGTGGCTGGTCTCAGATGATCTTGTGTCCGAGTGGCTGGTCTCAGACGATCTTGTGTCCGGGTGGCTGGCCTCTGATGCTATTGTGTCCAGGTGGCTGGTCTCAGATGATCTTGTGTCCAGGTGGCTGGTCTCAGATGATCTTGTGTCCAGGTGGCTGGTCTCAGACGATCTTGTGTCCAGGTGGCTGGTCTCAGATGATCTTGTGTCCGGGTGACTGGTCTCAGACGATCTTGTGTCCGAGTGGCTGGTCTCAGACGATCTTGTGTCCGAGTGGCTGGTCTCAGACGATCTTGTGTCCGGGTGGCTGGCCTCTGACGATCTTGTGTCCGAGTGGCTGGTCTCAGACAATATTGTGTCCGGGTGACTGGTCTCAGACGATCTTGTGTCCGGGTGGCTGGCCTCTGACGATCTTGTGTCCGGGTGACTGGTCTCAGACGATCTTGTGTCCGGGTGGCTGGTCTCAGACGATCTTGTGTCCGGGTGGCTGGCCTCTGATGCTATTGTGTCCGAGTGGCTGGTCTCAGACGATCTTGTGTCCGAGTGGCTGGTCTCAGACGATCTTGTGTCCGAGTGGCTGGTCTCAGACGATCTTGTGTCCGAGTGGCTGGTCTCAGACGATCTTGTGTCCGGGTGGCTGGTCTCAGACGATCTTGTGTCCGGGTGGCTGGTCTCAGACGATCTTGTGTCCGGGTGGCTGGTCTCAGACGATCTTGTGTCCGGGTGACTGGTCTCTGACGATCTTGTGTCCGGGTGACTGGTCTCAGACGATCTTGTGTGCGGGTGACTGGTCTCTGACGATCTTGTGTCCGGGTGACTGGTCTCTGACGATCTTGTGTGCGGGTGATTGGTCTCAGATGATCTTGTGTCCGGGTGGCTGGCCTCTGACGATCTTGGAGGATAAGATGCTGGATGTGGAGATCCTGGGCTGGTGTGGTTACACGTGGCCTTTGGAGATAGCTTATGGTAGAAAAATGAACATTTAATTCACAGGCAACAGCTCTGGGGGACACTCCTGCAGTCTGCTGGCCAATTGCATGCTCCCTCAAAACTTATGATATGATAAAACTGCACATTATAGACTGGCCTTTTTTTTGTGGACAGCCTAAGGCACACCTGTGCAATAATCCTGCTGTCTAATCAGCATCTTGATACGCCACACCTGTGAGATGGATGGATGATCTCGTCAAAGTAGAAGTCACTTACATTAAGATTTTGACAGATTTGTGAACAATATTTGAGGGAAACAGGCCTTTTGTGTACATAGAAAAAGTCTTAGATCTTTGAGTTAGGCTAAAGCTGAATATTAGCCTAAAGCAACATTCTCGACATTTGTCAAGACAGAACAATTGTAAACATGCTTGTCAAAAGGGTATGAAAAATAATACATATATTATTTTACTTTTGTTAAACGCTTGAAAAAAGCTGATATGGTCATTTATATATTGTGCATCACTGTTTAGTCTGTCTGAAAAGTGTTGGGCCAAAAGTGTTATAGTGCAAGAAATAAAAACTCTTTCTGCCTGAACCTTCAGACTAAACAACAACAATCTGAGGACAATTTAGACACTTGTGTAATTCAGAACTACAGAACTGTGACCCAGGCAAACATACACAGTTTCTCTCTCTCTCTCTCTCTCTCTCTCTCTCTCTCTCTCTCTCTCTCTCTCTCTCTCTCACACACACACACACACACACACACACACTAGGAGGAATGTAATTGGATCTCTCTTGTCCATTCAGTGTGACAGAACCAGTCCTGTAAGCCAGACGCTCTCAGTGATTTACAGTAGTTTCAGTGTCGTCTCAGAAACCCTGCCGGATTATCCCTCGCTGAGCAGAAACTGAGCAGGACAAACACACCTCTGTTTAATTTCTGCTCACTGTAGCCATGAGAAAAACAACACAACAAAAGCAGAACGGAAGACGATTGCAACCTTGAAGTTTGTAAAGCTGTCAAAGCAGTCGTCAAGACTCTTTAAAAAAACGTCCCACTTCAACCACTGCTTGTTATATATAAATCTAAGTTTATTAGGGTCGACTGATATAGATATACCAATGCTGATATGTTAGAGAGAAGCACCAGTGAGTTTTTATCTTGCAATTCTAAGTTTATATCTAAACTCGGAACTGTGATAAAAAAAAAATGTTTCTGGATATTTCCCGAGCTTCCTGTTAAAGACTCATTTTGTTATCCTTTGTGATCATGCACTGACAATATTACATTTTCTAAATAAAAAATAAATAATAAAAAATAAATCACTTTGAAAAAATATATAATTTGAACTATAACTGAAATCTGTAATATAAAGTGATTTATACGTTTTTTTTATAGATCGCAACGTAATTGTTTAATCCAATTATAGAATCTAACAAATAATAAAAATAAATTGTTGAATTGACTAAAATTTGAAGAAGTAAACACTGTAACCAACAGTGTGTCCATAAGAGTTCAGTCTAATAATTTACACAGACACAGTAAAGTACTGTAGATGAAGAAGATGAAGAAGATGAAGAATGGCAGCTCTGCTCCTGACACTTGTTGGTCAAACAGAGAAACTTGGCCATGGCAATATATTTTCTTACCATATGTACACCTACAGTATTTAACTTGTAACAATAATTTCCACATCTGTTACTTTTTTAGAACTATGCTTTCTTTATTATTGATTACATGCAGAGTCACTGCTGAAGGTTGTAACTTTGGCACCATCTTGATTTTGATCAAAATCTTAATAATAAATCAATCAGTTTTAATGAGTTTGTTTTGCACTAGAAACCAAAATATATAGGGATTTTCGTAGAGCTCCACTGTTCAAATAACATATTGTGGCATAAGAAATTATAGAAAATGTCTTGGCAAAATCCAGTGTTTCTAAGTAAACAAGCACACACACACACACACACACACACACACACAGTGTAACGAGTGGTTGATCTTACTTGTTGGTGTGTGTGGTGTCCTGTAGATCTTCAGGATCGAACAGCTGCGATCCCTTCAAACCCAACTCCTCACAACCCTTCAGGAAGAGCGCCACATTATCCTAAACACACACACGTGAGCAGATCCTGCATGAGCGCAGTGCCAGGACTAAATGCACACACACACAGTTAAAGAGCAAGAGGGGAGGCAAACCGACGCCAGTGGTTTTGGGCACTCACTGCCCGTGCCTCTCTCTCTCTCTCTCTCTCTCTCTCTCTCTCTCTCTCTCTCTCTCTCTGTCTCGCTCCTTCTCTCTCGCTCCCAAACTCCTCACTCGGCAAGCTTATACTGTTGATCGCACTCTCTACCTCAGGTGCAGGAATGTCTCTCTCTCTCTCTCTCTCTCTCTCTCTCTTACTCTCTCTCTCTCTCTCTCTCTTTCTCAGGTGACTCTGGGTCTTTTGTTGAAGTCTGCAACCTGAGCTGTGTTATCCGCTCTGTTCCTCTGTCCTCTGGTTCCCAGATCCAGTGAAAGGCCCCGGACCCCTCCCTTCAGTCTCTCTCTCTCTCTCTCTCTCTCTCTCTCTCTCTCTCTCTCTCAAGCGGACCTGGAAGGGTGGCACAGTTTCCTGCCCCTAGTGATTGTTGTCACTCTGTTGTTTTGCAGGGACACAACTTTTTATCTCACGCCCATGTGTGTGTGTGTGTGTGAGAGAGAGAGAGAGAGAGCCCTGCCCCTTTCTAAACAATAATAACATGCACATATAGACGAATATAAAAGCAACATTTCAATGTTGTCACAGTATGTTGCAGCAGTTTGCAGTACCGCTCGCTCCCCAGTTTGAGTCAAGGTTTTGTCAGCCGAACCCAAAGATTTAATTATTCAGTGCCTGCTGAGATTTTAAATCTTGCAATATATTCAGGGGGTCCAAAAGTCTAAAACCACCTTGAAAATATGGGATTTTCATTTAAACCTGGAAACAAAGAAATATTTTAGATTCTGGACAATTTCTGGGTCACTGATTAAATAAGTATATTTGTGCCATTGATCATGTGACTTCGCACCCCGTAGCCCAAGACCGGTTCGCCTCTGAAGCTAAGCAGGGCTGAGCCTGGTCAGTACCTGGATGGGAGACTCTTAGGAAACTAGGTTTCTGCTGTATCCCTATGCTCTGTGTGGATCCTAACACCCCAGTATTGTGACGGGGACACTATACTGTCAAAAAGCACCATCCTTCGGATGAGACTTTAAACCGAGGTCCTGACTGGTCATTAAAAATCCAGGGATGACTTTCAGAAAACAGAGTAGGGGTGTAACCCTGGTGTCCTGGCCAAACTTGCCCCTTGGCCTCTGTCCATCATGGCCTCCTAATTATCCCCATATGCTGATTGGCTTCATCACTGTCTCCTCTCCTCCAGTAAGCTGGTGTGTGTGTGTGTGTGTGTGTGTGTGGTGGGGGTTTTGTTGCAATATGGCTGCCGTCGCATCATCCAGATGGAGTTGCACACTGGTGGTGGTTGAGGAGATCCCCCCCTTCTATGTAAAGTGCTTTGAGTACCCAGAAAAGCACTATATAAATGTGACTTATTATTATTATAAGCTTGTCATCATTAGATTTCAACAGAATAGACAGTTAGTTCTGAAGAAAAGATTCACTTCTCCAAATAAATCTAAGAGACAAAGAGACATAAAGACACAAAACATTAACACACACACATGACAAGCATACACAGCACACCACAGATACTCCAGTCTCAGACAGCGGCTGCTCACTGCCATCTTCAGGGATCCAGCTATCACATTAGTCTCTCAGAGCCAGATATTTGACGATCAGCAAGCCAAGAAAAGCTTCTCCAACTCATCAACAAATGCAGAGACGAATCCTTCCCTGGAAGTGCTCACTGGAGCCAGTTTCTAGACAAATACACCACTTTGTGTCCTGCTGGAATGATAAAAACATGTTCGCCCTGATCCCAGGCGGTGTGGAGCAGCCAAACACAATCTAAAACTTTTCAGTTCCTACCTTCATCACTGCACAAATCATTCCAATTTAAACTATTTAAACAAGTTCAATCTTACATGGCGAGTGATCTGTGGATAGTAGCATCCCAATATAACGTCGTTAAATAGTAAAGTAGTCCTCACAGGATTTACAGCAATAATCCGACATTAATTTGATCTGATCACCATCATTAACCACAGTCTTGATTAGACTTTCCAACATATGAAGATGGTTTTTGCGTTGTTCTAGGAATACAACCGAAACAACTGAATGTGGTCCTTTGTGTAGATGTCAGGAGTTGTTTCTCGAGCACTAGTTCTGCTGTTGTTATCCTGCTAACGTACTGTACATTAATGTGATTTATAGTACAGTATTTGTGAGGCTAACTACTTGTTTTTAAATGTGGATTTCTTTGTTTTTTATGAATTGTGTTTGTTTTAATTGTCTGGTGCAGTGGTTGTAATTGTGAGCCCAAGACAAATTTCCCATTGGGACAATAAAGTATACCATACCATACCATACCATAGTGCTGTACTATTGTGAGAAACTAGGAGAAATGCTTCTTGCGGCTCACTACTAACATCACTGATTTAGTAGAATAGAAAGTGAAACATTGAATAACTGACAATATTGAAGAACAATGTTCAAGTACTGTAGTGGTTCATTGGCAGACAGTAACTCATCCGGCGGCATTGCTGGCACGGTGACGCCAAATGGAGATGCGCCAATACACTACAAGAAACCTGTTTTCACTCATCCACTCTGCTTCACATTGGGAATGGAGATATCCGTCTGCTTGAGTTGGGAACGTTACAGATCCTTCAGGAGGGCAGAGATATGATGACCTGATGAACACATGTAACCGTGTCAAAGCTAAAAGTCTTCAGCATTTCAGCGTGTGCAATAACACACACTTCCTCCCTACTCTCCTTCCCCTCCATCCACACAGCCTCCCCGCCAGGAATAACACGCAAACAATGCGCTGACACCTGCAGAAACGTAATATCACTGGAGAAACAGGGAAAGAGAGAAGCAGACACTCGACGCAACAGAAAACACATTTTCTTATAGTTTTAAAATATGACTTTAAGTGCAGATGTTTCCGACAGAACGTCTGCAAACAAGATGGTCGCTATAAACATACGTGAGATTTATGGATGTGTTCGGTTTGATTTTACAGTTAAGAGAATTGACACGTTTGGCAGAAACTTTGAAAATCTCTTGAAGCTATGTGCTGAGATGATTTATTTTAATTATGATTGATAACTCTCTATTCAAGTTCCTTATGAAAACTCTGACAAAATCTCGAAAACATTCCAGGTATGCGCTTCAGGGCCGAGTTGCATAAAACTGCGAAGACTAGTCTTACAAGATAGTCATCCGATTTTTTTTCTTCATACCTTTTTAAAGTTAGTTACATAAAAACGTACAATGGTCTATTTTGATACCGAACAGTAAGATTGATTACCCCTAACTAACTGCTAGTCATAATGGTTACGTTCATGCAACTGGCCCCAGGAACTAAAACACTGCTGTTTCACAGGAGTTTAACTGTAGACTATGAAACAGTACGTCTGGGTGAGACTCATTAACCCAAACACACAGGAAAGGAAAGGGGAGTTAACCTGTTTTATTATGATCCAGCAGATAACAGATTACTGTATGTTTGTGCAATTTGCACTTGACAATTGTTTTGCACTTCAAGTGCCAAAAAGACCTGGAACCAATTCATGATTTCAGAAGATGACAGACTTGAGTCTGTCTGGAAATGCAACGATTGCAATCATTCATGCTGTGGCGTTCTGTTTTGAAATGCTTGATGTTGTGTCAGAATCTCTCGGGCCGTATAACAGACACATCTGCAATGTTGCGTAAATTCCCTTAAAGCAAAAATCTTCCAATTAAAGGCAACTACAGTAACTTCTGCCCAGAATGCTTTGTAATCCATTTAATGTATTATCTGACAACAAAATCAGCCCAGTAAGTAAGATGCGCTTGCCAGAGACGTTATAATGGAAGGAGGCCAAACACTTTAAAATAAATGGGTTCCTCTTAATTAAGACTTTACTCACAACTGGTCCAACAGCGTTTGTTGCTAAGTTAACAATGTAATAAGCATAAAAATACAAATATTGGGCTGATATATTACATTGTGTAAAATATTTTATTCTTAATTAGATTTGAATAGACATCTTCCAGCATCCAATATATTATTCACTTGTAAATAAATTTTTCATTATCATTGTCAATAACAAATTAGCTTTCACTGGTTTTATTTTTTTCTGCTGAAAGGGATGAGTCGCCATGTTTCATATTTTATTTCAGTAATGGCTACTACAAAATTTGTAATTATCTGTTATTGTTATTGATCAAGAGATTCTGTTTTAAAACTGAACCAAAGACAGTCTCAAAAACACGCTTTGGTGTCTCTGACGTCACAAACCACCTTGTAACCAATCAGATCAACGTGTGATCGTCAACCAGCGGATCTCTGAGTGAGTGGAGGCGGGGCTCATTTGCATATAGAACCGTGAATACTTAATGAGGTAAGGGTGTCGAGTTACATTCAAGATATTTTAAGCTACGCATCCTTTTTTTCCAAGGAAAAACACTTACACGTGTCATTTTTGTGCCCAAAGATGAGTTTTGAGTATTGAGAATATTGAGTACCTTTTGTCATCTAGTATATTGCATTTTAGCTTGGACTGAGGTTTGCTGTGTTGTTGTTTATGTTCTATTTTCTGTATCCTCTATGTCTACAATGTTGTTGGATGTTTGGTGTGGTTATATTTTTTATTGTTAGTTACTGTTATCTGTGCTAATGTTCAACTTCCCACGGGGGAATAAAGGTTTTATTCATTTATTCGTGTGTTTTTGCTCCAACAAAAAATAATTCCAAACAAACTCACAGCGGAATTACCCGTTATGTGTTTTGAAAAGCGTTTTGTTTCTTCAAGCTGTAATATTGAAAGCTAGCCATTGAAATTGCTCCTGCAGTCTTAATCAAAATATGTAGAGAGTTGTTTTTTCCGCCCGCCTCCTCAGACTCGACTCTCGCGTTGGTTACCAGATGGAGAACATGCTATAGAAAAGAGTGAGGAAAGCGGCAAGCCTCATACAAGTTTGTCAGTTGATTTATCATGTTTTAATATGCCACTGGTCTGGTCATAGATCAGCCACATCTGACCCAGTTCGTCTGCTGGCTTCCATGGCTGTAATACGCTGGGTTTTCCACTCACTGGCAACCCGTGGTGTTGAAATACCATTGGGTGAATTTGTAGTGGGCGGAGTCACACAGACCAAAACAAACACACATTCCAACGCACATTTAAAAGTAGAATCACTTGCTGAAGCAGTTTTTCAGAGAAATAAGTATATGAACTTAGCATGTTTTTCTAAATATCAGCAAACATTTGAATGCTTTAGTCAAATAAAATAAATAAATACATCAATGAAAAAGCCGTTTTAAAGAGCAGAGTTAATGTAATGCAGACACAAGAGATGTTGTCTGATTTCTGCGTTCCAGGGCTTAGCCTATAAGATACTGCGGTGTAATTGTAGCTCTGGGATCACAGCGAGGCGAGGGGGAAACCAGGCAGAGAGCGATAGAGAGAGAGGTTTGAGGAATGCTGGTGTGTAATTACCCATGCCTGTTACGAGGGGTGGACGGCGGAGATAAGACGGCCCAGCCAAACCAAACTTCCTTCAAAACACTGGCTGATTAACACCTGTTATTCTTACAATGTCTTCCTTCAAACTCGTATTAAGTTTTCTATTATGGCCGGGTCGCCGCCCTCTCTAGTGCACACACACTTCAGTCGGAGAAGCACTCGGCACTGATGTCAGAGGACAGAAGGAGGAATGAAAGAACACCCTTAAAGAAAACAAGAGGTGCATTCATCAGCCTGGAGCCTCGGCGTGATTCGAACCCAATGCAGAGTTTGACATTTAGACCGAAGCCCGAAAGCACACGCATGCAGGCGACGATGGCCGGACAGCATCTTGTGCTTCACCTGATCATGTCAATTCATTTCACATGATCAGTGCCACAAATAATAGGAAAGAATTCACAGCGTTTAACGCCACGTTATCATCGCTGATGTGCACAGCTAGATGCTCAACAACCAACACCAGCGCCTCATCTTCACACACTTCACAGACACAGGAATCAGTTGGAGTCTTGACTTGATAGTAGTCTGCAATATATATTTATTTACACAACAGTTCTTTCTGGATATTGAACCTGATTGGCTGAGAGCCTTTTCCAGCAGTGAGATATTCTCCCAGTATCAGGACTGGAACCGTTTCACCGCTTGTATCACTCTGTCATGGCGGTCCAGCAAATCCACCATATAAAAAAAGTTGATTATTGTTATTTAGACGTCAAATATGTAGTCGTACTATATAATCATAGTGCCTGTTTTACGATCTGTTGAGACGCTTCTCATGTTCCCGCAGAGAACCGCTCATCTCCGACAGTCCTTCGGGAATGTACCGATTACTCTTATGTAGATAGTGGTTAAACTTGAAATATAATTCATTTGTGGTATTTCAAACGGGAAATCTTTGGTCTTATTAATCTACTTCATGTTCCAGAGCAAATCAGTTTTGGGTAAGGGGAAAATTAAGTTTCATAACTTGCCTATATTTCACTGTATGTATCCTGTACTAGAGAGCTGCTTGTACGTTTATAGTATAATAATAATATTTATTTTTTGCTATTGAGAAAGGATTGAGATATGCTCTTCAGTGAAAGTTACATTACTTTAGATGGACTAAGACGGTCTTTATGAGCGAGTCAGAACAAGGACGTTCGGGTTGATGATGGCGCAGTGGATGAGACACATGCCTTTGGTGTGAGAGACCCAGGTTCGAATCCACTGTGAGACACCAATGTGTCCCTGAGCAACACACTTAACCCCTAGTTGCTGTAGAGGCGAGCGACCTCACACATACATATAGCAATTGTAAGTCGCTTTGGATAAAAGCGTCAGCTAAATGTAAAATGTAAGGAAGTTGTTTTATTTGCTGTCTGTCATGGGAAGGACAACGACGAACATGTGGCTTTCCTGAGCGGACATTCAAACTGATTTTTTTGGATATTATATTATGGACATGGACCTGAAGAATGACTGCTATTTCAGATGCTGGGAACGCACTCCACTATTAACACCATAATAGTGTCCTCTACATAATCCAGAAAGCTTCAGGGAAGTGATTTAGTGTTCCTTCGTTATTACTGTAGTTGTAAAGTGATGTTTTAGAATTAGATATTCAGATAGTGTGATATTCGTAGCTCTTTTATGGACCTGTAAAAGCAGGTGTGTCGCGCGTTCTGAATCGGTGTGTATTCGCCATGGCCTCTTATCGCGTCACGGAGGACACTCGAGAGTCGGGGTGGACTCGCTGTAGACTGTGAGCTCATCGTCAGGCTGGTGTCGGTTTAACCCCGTCTGTAAGTCGTGTAGATCTTGTCTTCGACCTGCGATCCCCCTGCGCCCGTCTCCAGTCTCGCGTCCCCGGATTGGCGTTTGGTCGTCGGCGTAACGGCGAGACACCTGGAAATCTGTGGCCATTGAGAAGAGCTTCGTTTTCCTCCGATGTTATTAATGCTCTGATCAACACTCGACCCTTCATGAACAAGACTGTCCTGCTAAATTACTTGTTTTCCTCTCACAGTCTGCATTTTATGAATCCTAGACTAAGGTTGGTGATTTAACACCTTTTTTTAATTGGTTACTACAGACAGTACATTGGTAATGTATTGGTAATGTTACCACAAAATAAGCTTTTAATATCCAGGTTTGCTGTCCATCTAACACTTTATCAAAGGAGTTCCTCAGCCAGGGGTGCGTTTCCCGAAAGCATCGTTAGCCAACTATGGTCGCAATTTCCATTGAACTCTATTGGTAACGACGGAACTTGCGACCATAGTTGGCTAACGATGCTTTCGGGAAACGCACCCCTGATGGAGTCTTCAGCCTTGTCAGAGGACACTATGGACCTTGTACTCTCTCATGGGTTTGCAATCAGTGATGTTGTTGTATCTGATTTTATGCTTTCGGACCATCAGCCAATATTATTTTCTACGTCTCTTCCTTGCCTTTCTCATTCCCTTACTGAAGCTATAACATTGTCCTTCTTCTCCGTTTGGCTCAATTTTTAACGAGTGCTTTATGCTGTTGGGTTTGCCGCTATCGGTCTTGGATGCCGACCAACATCTGTCTATTAAAGTGTTAGTTCAACCAAAAATGAAAATTCTGTCAGTATTTACTCACCCTCATGTTGTTCCAAACCTCTGTGTGTTTATTTGTTCTGCTGAACACAAAGGAAGATATTTGGAAGAATGTTTTAATCAAACAGATCTCATTCCCCATTGACTACCATAGTAGGAAAAAATACATACCATGGTAGTCAATGGGGAATGAGATCTGTTTGACTAAAACATTCTTCCAAATATCTTCCTTTGTGTACAGCAGAACAAATAAACACATAGAGGGTTGGAACAACATGAGGGTGAGCAAATACTGACAGAATTTTCATTTTTGGGTGAACTAACCCTTTAAACTCAGCCTGGCTGAATGACCTAAATGAAACTGCTCCTAAATCCGAACCATGGCTCAACTCTGATATCCGACGACTTAGACAAGTTAGAAGAAAGGCCAAGCACAAATGGAAAAAGGACAAGCTACATATTTAATTCCAGTTGTTTAAACACAGTTTATCAGAACACACATTACATATGTACATATTTTTATGACTTGATTATTGCAAATCACTCTAGACCAAAGATTTTATTCTCGGTTATAAAGTCTGTTGTAGATCCTCCGGGAAATACAATGTCTGCTGCATCTGATGCTTTATGTGGAAGCTTCATGTGATTTTTCATTGACAAAATCTCTAACCCGAGACCCAAAGCAAGCCCTTCTCACACTGAGCCCAGTCTCTCGGACACTCCTCAAAGACATTACAGTCGAACCGGCTTCCTGCTCTCTTGACATCTTTCTGTAATTGTTACCTAGAGTTAACTAGCTCAAAAGCACTGTTTCTTGTCTTGTTAATTAACAGTGTATTTTAGCAGGGTTTGGGAACACATCACAGATGTTTGGAGGAGAGAGGTGGACAGAAACCAGAAAGCCTTACCAGAGCCGCTACAGGAGTGGGCAGCCGGTTTATCTTCTTCACCAGACCCGGTCTGATCGAGCTCAGCAGTCTGAGAGAGAGAGACACATTCACAACACTTTATCAATATATTTTAATATAATATATACAATATTTTTTTAGAAAACAAGAGCCAGGTGGGGTTAATCAATCAAACAACGGTAACTATGACAACCAATGAAAAGCGGGAACTTAGGGAACAAAGGCACACAGGAAACACAAACACAGAACTGTACCTTTAAGGAATGAAAACGCTATTTCTGAATGTTCTCTGAACATTGTGACAATTATTAAATCATTTTAAAACATTTAACAAACAAACACTTTACTTAAGACATTTAGCAAAACTGAACTCAGAGAGGTGGGGGTTTGAAGGTTTCCACAAGCAACACACCGATCCGGCCTCCTCACACCACACGACCTGATCACATCCCGAAGACAAACTAACTTCCAAACTAATTCCTTTCCTTGTAGAGTAAGACTTCTTTGGCAAGTGTGAGGCAGAAAAGAACGGTGTAAATGTAATTATCCTCCATCTTTCTGTGAGCAATGGCACCCTCAGGGGATACATTTATTCTGATTATAATATGGTGGTGCGTTTTTACTTTACTTTTAATCACCATCACATGGGAAATAATAAAACATTTTCATATCCTGGCTCAGTTACAAGTATTTAAGATTTATTCCTGAAAAACGTTCACCACAGGGCGACTTTAAATGATTAGGTGTTTCCTCACAAAAGCGGTTTATTCAGTGTAGTGAAGCCTACATCCATCAAAACAATCGACCCCTGCTCTCCATCGCTGCGTACCAGCGTTAGCATTAGCCGCTGTGCTGCTTTGGTTGCAGGCTTGCCTTCTCGTGGCTTTGCCCGCTCTGGACTCGCTGGCTGTTTACTGGGCCGAACAGAGAAATGCTCCACGCTGCGCTCTTCAAATGAGTTTCGTTACATTTTTGAAGCGTTTGCCATTCGATGAGTCTCATACGCAAACGACAGCGCATAATCAAAGACAGTTGGGCACCAGTGCATAGTTTTAGTCGCAACGGCACAAAGAAAAGGTCACAAAATACCATTTAGTCTCCGTCTGGAGCCCTGATTTACAGTGGATCTCTGATGGAAAGTTGGAGCCATTAATGTGCTTAGCGGGCAGCTCACAGGCTCCGCGCGGACACCATGCTGGAGACTACTGGCGAAGTCATGACGTGACCCTTAAATATTATTCTCGTTAGAGTAAAGGCCATGAAACACAAGCTGACCGTCATCCGCCTGTTGGCGTAGTTTCTGCCGGCACCAGTTGGACGAGCGTCCGTGGTTTGCGGGCCGTGTTGAGAAGTGTTTAGGGGCTCTGACACACTAAACTCAACAGTGTACAGACCCTGAAGGACTAAAGACTACACACACGCAACATGATCTGATAGACCAGTAAATGTGCAGTACATGGCTGTCCAGTTTCAGGAAGGAGAGCAAAATAAACGGCTCTCTGCAGTAAAATCTTTAGGAAGTTTGTGTTTTTTTCGTGTCGCGCTGGATAAATGTTTGAGGAAACACCTGGAGCGTCTTAAAGGACTCAGACATGAGGGCTTTCACGGGCCAGACGCACAGAAGTCACGCTGAGGACACACGTTAATGCTGAACATCATACATCATGCGTATATAGTAGCCTGGACCTGAAAACAGCAGCGCACCGTCTGAATTAAAACCGCATGTGTGACTCAGAGGACATAAACATCCTGATGTCCTGAGGAGGATTTTTCATCTCAAATAACACACACACACACACACACACACACCTCCACGAAGCCTCCATGTTTTCTAATATAACAGAGGCATCATAGAGTCAGATCAGAGCTGAAGTGTAATAATCATCAATATAAGCAGAATAAGCTACTGTTGTAATATTGAAGAAACACATCTATTTTTGACCAGTGTGTTCGGATACTGTGACCTCCAAATTCCTCATTGCTAAACAACGAGAAAAAAAAATTCTAATCAAAACTGAAACCTTTATATGTGTTTTTTATGGGATCAAAATCCCACCAAATGTATTGCTGCCGCGGATCAAAAAATAATAAGAATGATTCAAAAATGTAAACACATTACTGAACAAAATATATTACACTTCATAAGTTCACACTTACAAATCAGTCTAATAGATTAAATTGGTAAATGTATTTGGTGCGTTGATCTTGGTAATTGCCTTGGACTAATGCTACTATGGACTAATGGTGACGCTTGAGAAACTCGAACTGCAACATTTGGAAGAGCAAGCGCAGAACATGGAAAGAAGAGCGAAAAACATGAACATAAATTTAAGTTTCGTGTAAAATATTTTTTACTATGTTTAAAGTTTTTATTCATGCTTGTTATTTTAGGAATCACGCTTATATTTTGATCTGTGACGATGTTGTTTGCTTTTCTGTTTGTTTTGCATTATTTTTTTCAGTTTGTGCAATATATTTTCACATGTGTTTTACATTTTTGAATCGTGCTTTTTATTTTTTGATCCTTGGCCACAACACATTTGGCGGGATTTTGATCCCATAGTTTTGGCCGTTCATTTATACAACAGAGGCATTTTAAGGGCCTGAAAACGCAAACTTTCAAAACTTGTTTCAGAGTGCAAGTTCTTGAAAGCGCTGACATCGTCCGTGCATAAAGTGTTATCCATCCCTCTCCGTGCATAAAACAACTCTTTGTGAAAACGGTGATGTCATGCACATGTGTGTTCAGTCTATAGGCATGTAGTGTAGTGACACTGCCATCTACTGGAATACAGCGATTACAGTCGCTTTCACAGATCTGTGTGAACGGGATCGCTTTGACAGCACTATCGAATCTAGAAAACGGTCCGGCTGTGCCGCTTCGGGGATGAGAGATGATGGCGTGTGCTTTAGTGTGGACACACCTGTTTATCAGCTCTTGTTAGTGTCATACATGCCATCAAATAAAGATCTGCTGGATACGGTGGGGGACATGCGAGAAATGACATCAGACTGTTATCCGTGTGTCTCTGTGGATCTGAGAAGAAGCTCATTTCCAGCAGGTCCTGGGGGCTGTTGACAGGCGGTGATGATTATTACTTGTTATTCCTGTGTGAGACTCCTGTGTGATGGGAAACTCAAGAAAACGCCATGAGCTTGAGGCTAGATCCAGTTGTGCTTCAGATCCGCCTGTGCTGATGTGTCTAACTGTTGTTTTCCATGTCAGTCACACTGATCTTTCCTGTCTGAGAGAGCAGATCTTCAGCATTCAGAACAATGTGAGGTAACGTGTGTGTTTATGGAAGTATTGTCTGTTTGTACATGTTTGGTAATGAGAAGCAGTCAGAAGAGAAGAGTTGAGATAAAACTGCCAACACAAACACTGCTGTTAACAATTAGCCTAATGGAATCCGCCGCTGATGAAAACTGGCCTTCAAAGCTTCTGCTCGACTCAAACTATACACCACATATGAAGAGAGATGTCTCCTGCTGCTTCGCCCTGAGAAAAACAGCCAGTGTTTCACACGCGACTCCTAGAGATCTCAACAACAATCTTGACAACGTCTCAACAACATCTTGACAACAACTTGACAATGTCTCAACATCTCAACAACATCTCAACAACGTCTCTACTACGTCTCATCAACTCAACAATGTCTCAACAACATCTTGACAACGTCTCAACAACATCTGAACAACATGTTGACAACGTCTCAACAACATCTCAACAACATCTTGACAACGTCTCTACTACGTCTCAACAACTCAACATCTCACAACGTCTCTACAACATCTCAACGTCTCAATGTCTCAACAACCTCTCAACAATGTCTCAACATCTCAACAACATTTTGACAACGTCTCAACAACATCTCAACAACATCTTGACAACGTCTCAACATCTCAACAACATCTCAACAACATCTCAATAACATCTCAACAACGTCTCAACAACATCTCAACAACGTCTCTACTACGTCTCATCAACTCAACAACGTCTCAACAATATCTCAACAACATCTCAACGTCTCAACAACATCTCAACATCTCAACAACATCACAACAATATCTCTACGTCTCAACAACATCTTAACAATGTCTCAACAACATCTCAACGTCTCAACAACGTCTCAACATCTCAACAACGTCTCAACAATATCTCTACAACATCAACAATGTCTCAACAACATCAACAACGTCTCAACATATCGACAACATCTTGACAACGTCTCTACAACATCTCAACAACATCAACGTCTCAACAACTCAACGTTTCAACAACATCTCAACAACATCAACAACGTCTCAACAACTCAAGGTCTCAACATCTCGACAACATCTTGACAACATCTCAACAACATCTCGACAACATCTTGACAACGTCTCAACATCGTCTCTACAACATCAACAACATCTCAATAATTCAACATCTCAACAACATTCCAACATCTCAACATCTTGACAACATCTCAACAACATCTCAACAACTCAACAACATCTCAACATCTCAACAAAATCTCAACATCAACAACATCTTAACATCAACAACATCTCAACAACATCTTGACAACGTCTCAACAACATCTCAACAACTCAACAACATCTCAACAAAATCTCAACATCAACAACATCTCAACATCAACACCTCAACAACATCTTGACAACTCAACAACATCTCAACATCTCAACATCAACAACATCTCAACATCAACACCTCAACAACATCTTGACAACGTCTCAACAACATCTCAACATCTCAACAACATCTTGACAACGTCTAAACAATGTCTCAACAACGTCTCTTCAATCAACGTCTCATTCTCTCTCTGGATGAAGAAATTCCTAACACAATTGTACTGCATTTATAGTGTGTTGTGTTTTACGGTGTGTGTTGTGATTTTGGGGACAGGTACAGTTGGCACTCATTTCATGCTAATTGTTTGTTCCATAAAAAACAGAAAAGGTAAGTAAATGATGACAGAATTCAACTTTTTGGGCACACTGGCCCTTTAAGTGTGTGTATATGTGTGCGTGTGTGTGGTTTGAGAGAGTTACTCACTCGCACAGTAAGATGCCGTTGTTGAGTCCAGCTCTGAAGTCCCTGTCAGAGAAACTCCTGCCGGTCACAGCCTGCAACACACACACACACACACACACACACACGTTTATCACACAGCAGTCTGACCACAAAACAGCACTCAATTTACATGGAGATCTACATGGTTTCAAAAGCACAAATTCAGTGTTTATACCAGCGTTTCTCAGACAAGCCTCTGGCATTACAACAGAGGAAATCAATAACACAACAGCAAACAACCTTCTATGACACAGCACAAATCAAAGCTTATTCCACTGCTTATTTCAGAGAGAGAGACTCTCTCTCTCTAACAGGCTTGGAGTAAGTGGCCGTCATCCCGGCTAAATCTCTCTCTCAGGCGAGTGTCATGCTAATCATTCCTGACACGTGGGATTTACCTTCTGTGCCGCTCGTGCTTTCCTCCCTCAGAGGCGACGTAAACAGGTTACACACACAGAGTTTATATACATGTACCGCTAGAATTATTACATAATAAACAGCTCATTTATTTTAGTGCATTTTACAATCCTTCCTCAAAATAGCTGAGATCTACTAAACGCTTTTATAGTCCAGCAACAACTTGGCTGGAGTCACACACTTCAGCCTCGATCTGAGGAAAAGAAACACACCACAATAACAGACTCTTCGAAATATATAATTATTTTTTGCTTTTCCCAACATACAAAGCTAAAATGACACTATGCTTAAGCTGTGTCTGTGTCCACTACAGTCTTTCAGGTACTGTGAATAGAAGAAGAGAAACAAACCACATGTGCGAAAATAAAAGTCTCTGATTGTGGAATGAGGGAAAATTACATTTGAAGTTGTTTTATTATATTGATATTCTCTTTATAAGAAGAAATATTTTAGTTGCATTTTTCTGATTTAAAATAATCACTTCTTTGCATGAATTAAATGATGTCAAATTGATTTAGTAAAAAGGACACTGGCCAAGATTAAACACACTGTAGTATCAGTCATTTCTCTCATGCGGATTCAGATCAAAGATGTAAAGTTTGTCCAGTTTGACCATAATTTCTGCAAACAATCATTTTAAAGTCCCCCCATGGTCAATAATTGTATCCCTTAAAACTCATCTCTAATCACCAAAATTACATTTTTAAACTTTTTTCCCTTAAAATATCTTGAATGTAACTTGACATTCTTGCCTCATTTAGCCCCGCCTCCACTCACTCACATCAGCTCAGAGATCCACTGGTTGACCATGGGTGTGTTCCCCCTACGGCGCTGTAACTCGCTGCTTCACTATCACAGTACGATGCATCGTTGGAGAAATCAACTAGCGGGTCACGACTGTTTCCCGAAACCATATTGTTGCAAATTGGTCGTTCAACCGCGTTGGTTAATGATGTCGCGCATGTGGTGGAGTAATAACTAATGACTACAAACACTTTCATTAAAACACTTTTAATGAATCTGTTTGAGACTGAATTAATGCTAGATGTTTTAAAATAAATTCTAATTTTTCTCAATTATTTTGCTTTATTTCCAGATTCAATCATAGGCCTCATTCTTACATCATAGAGCCCATTCACACATCAGCACACTTCAAAAATGGTGCTTTACAAACTTAAAGACATAAATGACATTTGTATGTATTCTAAATCAAAGATATACATTGTACAGTACTGTATGTCAGCTTTCTTATTTTGCTCAAGATCCGGATTTATTGAGTCCACAGGTCATGCAATCTAGACACTCTGCTTCCAACCACAGAGCAATCGTTTCAAACACACAACTCTGAGATGCTGTTTGCGAATGCTCATTTCAGCTATGGTTCAGGAAACAGACCCTTTGAACCGATGCTGATAACGACGGAGCTTGGGAACCTTGGTTGGCTAACGATCCTTTCAGGAAACGCACCTCAGATTGGTTTCAAAGCGTGTTTTTGAGACTGTCTTTGGTTCACTGCAGTTTTAAGGAGAATAAAAACACCACATAGACACATAAACAACATTAAAAGCTGGATTTACACCACAGGGGGACTTTAAATATTCAGAAATGTGTGTGTATCAATGTACTGTATGTTGAGGTACACTATGCTTCTTATAGGCTGTTCTGTGAGTTGGTGGGAGTCTGACATCATAAATAGGGTGAACTGAACTATAAAAATAAATAAACAAATAAAAAGATTAATCATGGATGATAATGCACCTGGTCATGTGTAACGGAGGCCAGCTAGTAATTGCTGTGCGAGTAAACCTCACTCCCCTGATCTCAATAAGGCTCTAGCGACAGACGTTAATGGCTACAGTCTTTAGCCTCCTTGTTAGAGCGCCTGACTCTCATGCCGAAGACCCGGGTTCGAGTTCCGCTTGGAGCGGGTCGAGTGGGACCTGGGTGGAGGGATTACACATGGTAAAACGTTTAAGTTTTGAAAAAGTTCAAATGTCAAAGATCAAGCTGTACACCTCATCTGTGGAGCGGTAGCCAAGAGACACAATGTGGAGAGACATTTCCGCACAACCCAGGAGACCTTCAGTGGCCGTTATTCACCGGGTGCAATACTGAGAAAAGAAGATTAGCAGGCAGCAAAAAAAGTCACACACCGCAACTGAAGCTTCATTTCGAGATGCTAATTTTTTGACGAAACACAAAAAAAGTTCTGGGATGTCAAGGCAGCAATGACTGTGATAGCAATCTCTCGGTTTAAAGATCACAAGAGTGAAAATGAAATCATGTCCGCACTCTCCGAAGTTCAACTCGCAGACAGTACAATAACTGGCCGAGTCACGGCTGGAGAAAGACTCGGGTTCCTGCGGATGGTTCTCCATCCAGTCTGCCGACTCTGTGGAGCAGCTCATGGTTTTCATCAGAATGGTTTTCAGTGAAAGAGGAATTTTTCACATTAATTCCCCTTCAAGACAACAACGAGGGGTGTTGATATTCATGATGAAAGGCTGGTAACAACTGATGACTACCTGATCTTTCCTTCCTAACTCACATCACTGGGAAACTGAATCAGTGACATGATCAGTGCTGTAAAAGCATTCAATCAGCCATATTTACAGAGGAACAAATGTCTTTCCATCCATGCAGTCGATGCTTCTGCATCTGAGGTCTTTGACAGAGCATTACATCAGTACACTTTGAACTCTTGGACAAAAATCTGAGGACAGATTCAATGACTTTAAGCTGGAACTATGCGTGTCCTTCACTTCAAATGCTTTCATTCAAGTGGACATTTCACACATTTTTGAGAAACAAAGTGATGCATATTTAACCTGGTTCCAGGTGAGCTTGAGATGGAGACTCTCACTCCTCAAACAGACATAAACCTCAAAGCCCATCAGGGGGCAACAGACTTTAGACAACATGTTGACTCAGAGAAATACATTCAAATGTGCACAGCAGCGTGTCTCTTTGGTTCAACATTATTTGGCTCAGGCCTAACTGATGGACATTTGGAGGACTGAAGTGTTTATGAGTGATTATAGGGCATTTGTGATGTCCTGAAGTACCCTGAGAACTGTTTGAGCTACTGTCTGGTTCTTTCACTCTTGAAACCATGGTACAACCAAAGAAACCCGCTCTGACCCTGTCCAGTCCAAACTCTGAAACCCTTGAACAAATTTGGGAACATTAATAAAAACCTTCCAGAAGTGGCCAGCAGTATTTTATAGGTCCGTGGAAGATTTCACAACATTTAGTGTGCCTGATAAACCATTCAAGCGAACACATATAAAGAATATTTACGAGAGAGCTATCCATCATGAGAACAGTTGTTTGAGCGTCAGCACGGACCCGTACACACAGTAGCTTCTGGCAGACGCATGGCATTACTCCACAATGGAAAGCGCGGCGCAGGTCGTCCCGGGCCGCTCCATCAGTCGCTGGAATGCTGCTGCCCGTGGAATGTGTCCCGGTGCGCGTCCGCATTGTTTCCCTAAACAATCAAAAGATGTTTCCTTTTTTCTGTGGCTCTGCTCTCGGCGGACGCTTTAATGACATAACAACAGCCCATTCTCACGCATCCGAGTCCAAGTTTACCACTTCCCCAGCTTTGTTGTGCTCAGCAGGAGGAATCCAGTTAGGCACAGCACAGAAAAGTTACTAAAGCAAAAACAAGGCAGAGATTTTCTCATGAGAAGAACAGCATGATGATGATGATCAGAACCTCAGGAGTGAAGCGACTCTCAACAAACCTGAAGGTGACGACTGTAAAATGATGATGTTTCGGTGGAGGTTTTACAGTTCATAACTGAACGTACACTGTAAGTGATGTAATGTTCATATACTGTACCAACCCACTGGAAAATACAATCTGCTTTGCCTTGTGATGAATTAAACTTAATGAAAACTAGCACTTGTATGAATAATGACCATTAGAGCGACAAACAACTAAAATAATTAAATAGACATTAAAGGGATACTTCAGGATTTAGCATCATGCTTTGTATTAGTAGGAAACCTGCAGTATTTTTGAATCACCATGCTTTCCACCCTCATATCCCCCTGAGACGAGAGATTAATGTATTTTTTTTGTGGAAAAAATTCTATGGACGCAAATTTATGATTTTTGCGTCATCGGAGGATGTTTTGTCCAGATGCTAAAGACTACAGTCAGTAGTAGGGTCTGTCCCGCATGTCCTCAACCCGCCCATAGAGGGCGATCTCACTCACAGAATGAACACATAGTGTCGGCCATCTTTTTTTGGAAGCTAAGCTAGCAGGCTCTTGTTCTGTGGAGAAAGCTGAGTAATAGTGGTTACCATCCTCTTTTTCCTGGACATGTCCGGCCATCGATGTCCGGGATTCAGCTTTTGCTTTCTCCAGTCGCCATTCATTGTTTACATGCACAGCTTTTGTTTCGATCTAATTGAATTAATTCCATTGGAAAATCTGAATGTAGTGTTTACATGAACGCTAAACAAGTGATCGGTTTCCGGAAGAAAATCCCCACTCCTCCGTGAGAGATACGAGACCGGAGACTATATATAGTAAAATCAATTCCTGTTAAAAGGTTTTTACTGTAGCATTTATACAACGTTTTTTTGTAAAAAAATAAATAAATAATAAATAAATAAATGTT